TTGTGCGAGCCTGCGGAATCGAAATGCACATGGTCGAACACGAAAATTCTCGGCCCAAATGCCATGGACAAGATGGATCCCAACCCACATTTTGTGCGAGCCTGCGCAATCGACATGCGCATGGACATCTCACAAGACAACTTTTTTACTCCAGAATCTTCAGCAAAAGTGCCCAAAGCCGCCGCGCAGACCTTGTCAAAGCTCTATCCTGGCACCGACACCCCGGGTGCGGGTGAGGCCTTTGGCAGGGGGCGCGGCCTCCCAACAAGCACAACTCATGGAGCGGATTACGTGGTTATATACCAACAATTGGTTTCCGCTCCTTTATGCTGGGCCTCAAGATGAAGGGGCCGAGCAAGATGGTGGCCATGGACATCAAGCGCCAAGCCGTGGGTCACACACCGGATATGTTGGATGAGGAACTGTATTCACAGCTCTGTGCAGAAGCCTGTTGGGCCAATGGGGCTTTATTGGAGGTGGCCCAAATTGCAGAACATGGAGCATATTCCGTTGGTTTCCCGAACCCGGGGCACAAGGCCAGTCAGGGCCAGAAACGAAATGAAGACATGAGGATTGGATTCCAACTCTCTTGAGCGTCCGCCGTGACACCTGTTTTGTGAGAGCCTGCGCCGTCGAAATGCACATGTCACAAGAGTCATTTTGTATGGAAATTTACGGGGAATTGGCCGCACACGAATGCTACCACCTCGATTCAACACCGGGCCTTAATTAACTGCAGAACCCCTCAATGTGGACACGCTGTTTGGGGAATGAAAGCAGAAACAGGAAACAAACAAGAGGCAGAAGAAGAACAAACATAAGACGAAGAAAAAGGAAAACAACAAAACAACAAAAATCAAAAGAACAAACCAAATCAAATCACGAATAGGAAGGGAACAAAAAACAAGAAGACACACAAACAAAACAAGGACAACAAAAACAACAATAAAAAAACAAACACAACAAAAACAAAAACAAAAACAAGAAGGACAAGAAGAACAAGACGAACAAGACAAACAAGAAGACCGAGACGAACAAACCGAAAAAGACAAACAAGACAAACAAGACGAACAAGAAGAGCAGAAAGTGCAAGAAGAGCAAGAAGAGCAAGAAGAGCAAGAAGAGCAAGAAGAGCAAGAAGAACAGGAAGAGCAAGAAGAGCAAGAAGAGCAAGAAGAGCAGGAAGAGCAAGAAGAGCAAGAAGAGCAAGAAGAGCAGGAAGAGTGCAAAGAGCACAAAGGGCAGGAAAGCAGGAAGAGCACGAAGAGCAGGAAGAGCAGGAAAGGCAAGAACAAGAAGAAAAACAAAAACAAAAACAAGAACAAAAACAAGAACAAAAAAATAACAAAAAGAGAAACAACAACAACAACAACAACAACAACAACAACAACAACAACAACAACAACAACAAGAACAACAACAAAAACAACGACAACAACAACAAGAACAACAAGAACAACAATAACAACAATAACAACAAGAACAACAATAACAACAAGAGCAACACCAAGAACAACAACAAGAAGAACAGCAAGAACAACAACAATAACAACAACAAAAACAACAACGAGAAGAACGAGAATAACAAGAAGATTAAGAAGAACAACAAGAAGAACAACAACAACATCAACATCAACAACACCACCAGCAACAACAACAGCAACAACAACAACAGCAGCAACAACAGCAACAGCAACAGCAACAGCAACAGCAACAAACAACAAACAACAACAGACAACAACAGACAACAAGAGACAACAACAGACAACAACCACCACCAACAACAACAAGAACAAGAACAAGAACAACAACACCACCAACACTGACAGCACCACCAACACCAACAACACCCACAACAGCAACAGCAACAGCAACAACAATAACGACAACAACAGCATCAACAACAACTACAAACAACCACAAACAACAAACAACAAAAACTACAGAAACAACAAACGACAAAAACAAAAACAAGGAGAAGAACAAGGACAAGAACAAGAAGAAGAACAAAAAGAACAAAAACAAGAAGAATCACAAGAAAAAGAAGAAAAAGAAGAAGAAAAAGAAAAAGACAAAAAAGAAGAAGAAGACCAAGACAAAGACCAAGAGCAAGACCAAGAGCAAGACCAAGAGCAAGAACAAGAACAAGAGCAAGAGCAAAAACGAGAACAAGAAGAATAAAAAGAAAAAACATAAAAAAAAACAAATAAGAAGAAGAAGAAAAAGAAAAACACAAACAAAAAGAAAAACAAGAAGAAAAACACGAAGAAAAACAAGAAGAAAAACAAGAAGAAAAACAAGAAGAAAAACAAGAAGAAAAACAAGAAGAAAAACAAGAAGAAAAACAAGAAGAAAAACAAGAAGAAAAACAAGAAGAAACACAAGAAGAAAAACAAGAAGAACAACAACAACAACAACATGGAAAAAATATAGACAAAACGAACATAAAGAAAAAACAAAGCAAACAACAAAAAAAATAACAAAAACAAGACAAAAAAACACAAAACAAAAACAGAACTAACACCAGTGCCACCAGCAGCAACACCACCATCACAACCACCAACCCTAATTTCACCAACGCAAAAATCAATGCCAAAACCAACGCCAAAACAATACAAACTCCAAAAGCAAGAAATTAAGGCCGTTACTTCATACTTGTGGGCATGTAGTGGGTCCCAAATGGCCACCGTGTATGTGTGTTGTTGGGCCCCTGCATACGGAATTCCAAACCATTTGATGTTGTGGTTCAATTCAATTCCACAATGCCGCATTGGGATTGAACAAATCGTTGGTGACAGATCTGCGATCCTCAACTTGTTGAGTTGTTGCTGCCTTATTTTCGTGCACTTTTGTCAGAATGATTGGCGACCTTAGTAAGGTTGTGGCTCAGGGCGTGCCAATGAAATCAAAGCATTCACGGTCATACCAGTCATATTTGTTTGTTTTTCATTTGGTCCAGGGACGCGCGAAACGTCACACGCAAGCTTTTGTGCAAAACATGTTACGTCTCTCAATTTCTGGACAGGGTTCACCTGAAACAAATGAATTTTCGAGCACCCGCAATGGTATTCGGAATCCATCGAGGTACAGTGCTGACAGTTTTTCTTAATGTTAAATTGTAGCACTTGTTTTTTTTGCCACAGGCAATGGAGGTGGTGATGATGTGGTAACTCCAAGGTCTGCTGAGGAGGCCCTGGTAATTTCTTGAAAGGGAATAACATTTTGTCCATGATTCCATGAAGACGTGCTTTCAATCAATGATGCTTGTCAGGTACCTGTCGCAACACCAACAAGAACTTCCATATGTTCCAGTTTATCGACGCCTTTCAGCCAGTGCATTCCTCACTTCCTCACGAACGTGACAAAGTGAACATATTGATACAGATACAGATGCAGATCCATACAAGTCATTACAAATCCACAACTGTTCATTCCCGCAACAGCTGAGGTGTAGTGCTCGAATTCCAAGTGTACAAGCTTCACCTGGAGCCAGTTGGCCCAGTAAACAATGCGTCGCTGCAACGTTTGACTCTTCTTGACTGGTTTTCTCGATTTCTCGGTTTCTCTCATTGGACTCCAAATGTAGGATGAAATTGAGAACGATCCAGAATCATACCAGATCAGTCATTGAGTCATTGCCATGAATCCTTTTATGAAACTGAGGGGTTTGGAATGTCACATCATTGGACGCGCAGTCTCTGCAGCACTGCGCGCTATACAGTCTCAAACGCAACGCATGAAAAGGCCGAAGGGGAACGCTTGCAATGTAAGGTGCCTGAAGAAGATGACCTTCGGCCTTTTGGCAAGCGATGACAAGCGATGTTTCATGTGCCCTCCGAAAACTTCACGATATATTCATCATAAGTGTGAGAAATTTCTTTGGTGCAGGTTTAGCACTCCGCAGCCTTTTCATTCAATCATTCATGGACTACTAAGGCCAGCCGAACTGGTCGAAATCTTCTTGAAGGAAGGTTGCTATGGTGCATCATATCCAGTGCTTTGCAGTATCCCTGGCAAAATTACATGAAATTACATCACCAAGTCACAAACGTGGTTTTCTACACTAGGAGCTGAAGCGTTGGCGTCAGTCGACTGCCTCGACAGCCCACGAGGCAGCGAAACAAAGTTGTTTGAGAGGGATATATAACGGTGCTGCGGTTCTGCTTTTGTTTGGTCATGGTTGTCCGGGTTATTTTGCCTTCGGCGTCACATTTCTGCAGCTTGTTTGTGACATTTTGAAGATGCAGGTTTGCCCCAAAGGCAACTTTGCAACTGCAATATGCCTCGATCGTCACTTGGTTAAAAAGTAAACTGTAAGGGCCTGCTCAAACTCTTAGTTGCACACAGGATGAATTTTTCTTTCTTTTAATGATCTAAGACATCTAAGACAACCTGGCTATCGGCTATCGTTGGTTTGTGACCGCCAGGTGCATTTGCAGAATTTCAGTCTTCTACCGGGTGAGGCTGTGGGTATCAGGGTATGGCAGGTATGGTTTGGTAATGAAGCGCTTTGCTTGGAAATTGCGCAGCTGCGCAAGTTCGCGACGTCAATTGGCATTTGACAGCTTTCGACATTTTGACATTTTGACATGCCAGGTTCTCGCGCTGGAAGCCATTTGGGCAGCTGTGGATTCGTTTGGTGATTCCTTTATCTTCTCGTAATCATAATTGTGAACACACAGGTCCACATAATTCAAACACTCGGCTTGGCCCGACTCCGGTAGAATGCACAAGCTGGGCGATGTTCGTTGAAAGCAGTCTCCATCACACCCAATGCGGAAGTGAGATGAAGTGAGCGCGGTTCAGAAATGTCAGCAAGGGAACCAACTGAGAACGCACGCCGACTGTCAGTCCCAGTAACCCACACAACAAAGGGGCATAAAGAGGCTAAGAGAGATGTTCTTGAGGAACCGCACCGTGATCGTCCTATTGCTGAACCAGTCCATCGACTGGCGCAGACTATCTGTCATTTCTGTGAAATTGTTGGCTCTTAGAAATTGCAATCCAGTGTGCTGATGGCTAGTTACGGGTGCCTTTGCCTGCACGCCTTCCATGGCAAAAGTGAAGGTTGTCAACTCCCCTTGCAGTGTATTGCCGATGCCAACCGCATCTCAAGGTTAGACGAAGAGCAGGAATATGAATACGTCGATGAGGTGCTGACGATTACCCACGCACTCGCAACAAGGAAAACTGTGTCGAGTTGTGGGTTGTTTTTTTGTTGATGCTGGATTTTTATGGATTTTTATGCGTTTTGGGGTTTTCTTGAGGTGACTGGCTTTAGCTTTGAAATTCCGGAGGGCGTCCAAGCAGGAGTAACAATGAAGGCTGGATGCCTGTGCTTTCCATTTGCTTGCGCAGGTGCTAAATCGACGAGATTCCAGGTAAAACGTTTGGAAACATTTTTGCTCAACCGGTTCTGCAAAGAGCATGGTGCACTAAGGTGTTTGGACCCCACAATGTGACGCTTCACGTCCCTATGCCCAACAATGCTGAAGCTGGCGATAGGACCTGAGCCATAAAAGCCAAAGCTGTTGAGTCTGTGAGAGTCATTTTGGAATTGTCGTGCTGACTCTTTTTTGTGCGTCATGCTTTTCTGCTTTCTACTTTTCTGCTGGTTTTGTTGTTGATTCTTTGCATCCCACATGAAAGGGAGGAGATGTTTGATAGGGTCCCGGAGATTAACTACATGTAGGTTGATTTGCGTGGTTTTCAGTGGAGAGCTCTCGAGGCACTTGCACTCCCAAACATCCCCGCGTGCTGACTTTTGCTGCCACGCCTGCCACGCTTCCCCGTGCTTCCTTCAGGATGCACATGGTTAAATCGGATGGCAAGTGGAGAATCGATCATGTCAGCAGCCTGACAGAGCTCCGTGCAGTTTGGGCATGCTTGGAAGGGTTCAAACGACTCAAGAACATCTCAATGTCCATGTGCCCATACCTCTCAGGTTACACGTGGCGAAGCAAATGTTGCGCAAATGTCTTCTGCCTTAATTGCTCAACATTTCACACCACTCTCACATGTCCCCCAGCTCTCTAAGGTTGTCCATACCCCAGGCAAAAACAGTTGATGACCTTGTCATCCCGAGCATTGTTTTGCTTGTTAAGCTTCTTGGCCAGTCTTGATGTGAGTTGGTTGGTCCAGTCATGCAACCGCGATTTTTGGTGGGAAAACGGCAAAGGATCACTCTCAGAACCACTCAGTAGCCTTCTCATGGCAGGCCAAAGACCTTGGTCAGCCACATGTCTCTTGCTTGCATCCAGGATGTTAGGATTCATTTCTCCAGCAGCGAAGCAGCGACCTTTATGCCCTTTGAATCCCTTTGGCAGGTTTGTAGTGTAGAACTACGGACGACCAAAGGTATGATCAATCTCAGGCCATGAAGTTGAACTCAGTTTCTCTTCTCTTCAGCTGATTCTGCATGATTCTGCACTTGAAGATTGCCATAGATGCCATAGATTGTCATTGCCACAGCGACATGCATTGCCATTGCGGCCATTGCGGTCATTGCGGCCATTGCCATAGTATGCGACTTTTTGAAATGGCCGCAGGGTGGTGCCGAGCTGGGCACCCAAAGGTGCGCAGCGCTTTCTGCAGCTCGTCACTGACAAGTGCCCTGCCCACCTTGAAGGGGGGTCATTAACACATATTAACACAGTCTACATAGAATGTGGCTTGCATTCTTTTGGGGCTAACGGGGTTATTCTATGTCACTTGCTTTTGTAACCTCCGGACTCCAGAGTGCTTCATTCAAAAAACACCAATTTAGACCCCCAGTCCTGGAACCAATGATGACAAGTGGTAAAAATTTGGATTCATTTTGTTCAAAATGATTCCTTCTCTTCTTAAAATCAGATTTGTCTTTCACGCGAATGACAAGTGATGGAACCGTTCCAAGGCGGGCCTTTGACGTTTCAAGGATTTTTTTTGTAGTTCTAATGGTTGAACCACAGTGCCACGCACGGATATTCTCAAGCAGATCTTTTTCGCACATGCCCCGTTGTCATTCTTCTTCCTTCAGCAATGGTGTCGCATGTGTTGCAAGGATCGCCCCTCAATGATTTGTAAGTGCCTTGGGACCTTGGCTCTCACAGACTGTTACGAACCCATTCTGTTCCGGGATAAAAATCATTAGACCATTGACGCGCACACACACAGACACACCTTGTGTAGGCGTCATCTCTTCTTTGGGCAACCCTTTCAAAACTTCTGTAACTGCAACTTACATACAGGAACATACGTTCAGGATGTTCATTATTTTTCAATTTGAACGTGCTGAGATTTTGCAGGGCGCGTGATGTTTGTTTGTCATCACTGCTATTTGTTTTCAGGTACTACACTGACCTTCCTGTTTACCGAGCTGTGTGGCCCCCGAATCTAGTAGCGATTTTCCGATGAGAATGCTCAGGTCATATTTTCAAGCTGTTCCTCCAACTCGGTTCCACCCATCCATTGAAGGTGCCAGACTTTCTGGTGCAGTTCGGAGTATCTGGCGATGATCGAAATTGGAAGTATGAGGCGCTGGGATGGGGTTTGATAGTGCTGTGTGAAATGCCGAAATGCATTCAATGGCCTGAACCTAGGCCATCGAAGATGATGACTCCAGGGGAGTTCCCTTTTTGGTGACTCGACTGGTGGTATGCGAGAGAGATGCACTTTGCACTAATGCGTGAGTGCAGAGCATCCTGCATCGTCAAGATATCGGTACTCTGCTTTGCAAGGAGGGCATGGTGTGCCTTGCAGCCAGCAGTCAGCTCCACCGTCGGGTTTATCTGTCAATAGCATGCAATAATAGAATATACTATACGATAAGTCTTTATTCGCAGTATGTGGTTTGCTCAAGATGACTTCAACTCCGCTAAAGTGGGTCCCAATCAATGCTATCACTGCCAGGAACAGCCGGATGGCTACGCTTTGCATTTTCTTGACCGACTTCCCTCAGCTGGGGAAGTCAAGCTGGCCAAAAATTGGTCAACTCACAGCACCTTGTGTGGCATTTGCCCTGGGCATATTCTTTCGTGACAGGAAGAGCTGGGAAACACCGTTTGCGCGGGTGTCGGAAGAGTCGCTACCCGTGTACTTCGCTTAGCAGTCTGCAATTTGTGCAACAAACGAAGCAAACACCTTGTGCTGATGCATTTGATGTATTCGCAAGGCTTCGAAGCATCTACACTGGTTATGGGGATATGCCTCAGTGTGGTGGTAGTGGTCCGGACCCAATTCAATTGCAGGACAGTTACAGCAGTCAGAGCATACTCACCTGAGCCCACCTCATCCGTGCAGGATAGAGGGAACAGCTACATTAAAGAGAGCTTCCCGAAATGTGACTATGCAGACTCCTGAGAGATTTAAGAGTGCCAAGCTGTCCCATAGCTGTCCCAACTTGGTGCAACACGGCACAAAGACAAATCCTGAGGTGGAGTCGGCTGAGTGGGTGTCGTGAGAGGCCCTGGATAGCATTCACAGAATGTTTCGTACTAGACTTAGGGTGCGGGGAAAGTATCCGCACTGCTTGTCTTCGTTCACAACTGTAGTGCTCCCTTAAGCGGAGGACTCTTCGACAAATCCTGTCATCAAATGCCTTAACGCGCCCATTCGTCTCACAGACTCCGCCGGAACATATCCAGCAGAGAATGCGATGTCTTCCCGTGTGGATCAGAGACGTTTGACGCAGCGTGATGTTCCTGCACAGTGTAGAACATTGTAGAACCATAGGGACCATAGAACCTCCCAGACTCTGTAGCCGTTGGGCTTTTATACATTGAAACAGGAGCTGCATATGGCACTACTTTGAGACATGGTGAAGGATGAAATCCGATTTCTTGTTCATGCAAGCTGCACCTGGTATTTCTTTACTCACTCTACTTGTGTCTACTATGATTTCCGGTGGGCATCATGAATGGTAAAGCACAAACAGCCAAGCTTGCTTTTCTGATCAGAATGCTTGATGGTGATATAATGATTAAGTAGCAGCTGGAAGATGCTTGCAGATGCGCGACGAAGAGGAACACTACATCGGTCTGCTTGTTCTCCAGTGAGGGGTGCTCCTGTGAGGGGTACTGCTCTTGACATAGATTTTCTAATAGCCACACTTCACCATAATTGTGTGCAGGAGAATGGCACGAATGAGCCAGTGAAAGAGCTGGAGCACTGGCAGTCCCTCTTGGAACTTTGCGAGGGCTACCGCGTCTTTGCAAATCAGAGCTTGTGTGATCTTGTGGGGCATGTGGTTGCTTGCAGATGCTTGCAGTGTGTTACCGTTTGCCCAAGAGGTAGGCAGATTCTTGCAAGATTCTTGGACTATGCACTCAGGGGAGCTACATGCAGCAGAGCCACCTCTGGAGAAAAGAGCGCTGTCCTGGTCCAGGTGCATTGCTTTTGCCCAAGTCATTCTGGGAGACTTGGCAATGGATCGCGATGGTAAGTAGTACCAAAGTGGTATCAGGATGTATCAAGTGATGTGTGCTCGGAGGGCAATATAGGGTACAACCTTCGTTCAAACATGATGCAAAATGATCTCACAGGCAGGTCAAGCTACAAGTTGAGCATGGTTGTTGTGTCATGCCGGGTGGAGTAGTATGGAGTAACAACGTGGAGGTATCATCCAGTATCCTGTTCATTTACTTCTACTACTGTAATTCTGTGAGTGGACAGTGATTACATGGGGGTTTTGACGTATTTCTTTACAATTGCGAGCGCTTGTTTTGATAGCACGCCCAAGGAGCCAGGGGTATACCAATTCATCGCGGTCAGCAGGGTAAACCTTTGGTTATTTGGGTGCTTGCAGCGACAGAGGAGGTGAGAGTGGACTAGTGGACGCAGACAAAAGCCAAAAATGGCCACCGTGCTTTTCATTTTTTTTTTCTCTTTTTTTGGGTCAAATAAGTCAGGAATTGAGCACCCGGCCAGGTAGAAGGAGCACTCGCTGCAAGTGGCTACTTTCAGGATGTGCCTCAACACAACAAGACACTAACAAGTCTAGCCCAAGTGATTTCTTCAACTTTTCAATATATGTTCTTGAGACCTCATCCAATGTGAGAGGCTTCTTGGCTGAATCGTGCTCCTACTGAAGTAGTTTTGCTTGGATCTTCTTTGCGACCTTCGCTGCAATTTGGGGACGCGCGGGCCTGCTCTGTGCGAGCAGCCAGTTACCATGAAGTTCAGGCCGGCGAATATCTGCAAATTACATCAAATTACAAGTGCTTGTTGCAAGGAGGCTTCAATTCGGGAGAGGGTGCTGGAAGTTTTCTGGACATTTCGATTCCCAATGAACCCTCTGGGTATGTCTATCTGAGCCTTTACGGTGACATCCAGCCCAAGATTCCGTGTTATCACTTAATCGACCAGCATCGAACATGTTTATTTCAAGAACTTCAACGCTCCTTTGACTCTTTTCTGATCTTTTCTGGCACTTCATGTGCTCCAAGGGCCAAATCTTGCAACGTTCCTTTCGTTGCATCAATCCCTGCGGTCCCTGTTCAGATTCTGGTTTGAGAGGACCTGCCTGAACCGCACATGTGCATCCTCTTCATGCCAGACCGTCATGATGTCGCCTTCGAGTCAGGTAGGTCTCCCCAGTCGAATTGAGCCTAGGTTAGACTGAACCAGGTTGAACCTGGCAGCTTCCACAAGACCGTGTGTGCTGATGGTCTGACAACCTTAATCATATACTCCCCCTCGGAGTTGACAATTGGGTCAAGTAATGTCAAGTGTAGTTGTGGAACTTTGTGGAACTTTGTGAGCATGGATCGGGAATGATCGGGAACCAGACTTTGTTTGAGGCGCTGCGAACAGTGACAGCCGCGGGATTCCTCCAGAAGCTCTGGAGCTTCTGGTTGGTTTGCCGATTGTAGTATCCACGTGCTTCAAGCTGCCAGCAAGACCGGGACTTGGAATGACCTGTCAGCGTGACCCTTCGTGACCTTTGAGCTACCTTTAGGGTCCTCATGTGTCCTCTCTTGATCCAACTTCGGACATCAAACATCCGGCCCGTTGCCAAGGAACTGCCAAATCCTTGGAGAGCCTGGGCAATTTGCTGCTCTTGCGAGAGACCCGGTGTCCTTTTTCATCGTCAGCTGGGGACGCGCACAGCCAGTTTTCTGACAACTGCTGGATTGTCGCCGTTCGCGGTCCCGATGCACTGGGATTTGTTCTGCAACATGCAGCTGGGACAGCACATGCTGTACTGATTTGTACTGTAAATACACTGAAAATAGATCATTGGTGGGATATGCTTGCTTACTTCAATCAGTGGGATTGTATGATCACATGTCAGCTGAGGACATCGAGATACCCTGCCCCTCACCTTTGCCTGAAGACCAGCGTTTGCCTGCTGTATTTTGGGGCATACTGGACTTGAAGTACGACAGTTGCTTGCTTGCACGAGGTTTGACGGCACCTGTCCCATGAAAGCCTGTGCAGCAAGCATATGCAAGGATTGTATGCAGCACGAAACGTTCTTTGCATTGACACTTGGCGCGCCGAGGTTCAAAACCTGTCTTAGAGCGCGTGCGTGTTCTTGAAACTGGTGACGGCCGCATTTCGAAATTCTCGGGTGACGGTGCAGCCATACAAGACCTCATGCGAGCGAGGTATGTCTCAAAGGACAAGCTGCAGAACCATTCAATAAGTTTTAGGGGAATGGAGTGAGTTGGATTTTGAATAAATATCGCTGGCGCTCATCCTGCTGTTTTCCGTCATAGGAAGGCTCTTTGCTGCGCAAATTTCATTTGATATCCGCAGACAAGAAGCTGACCCATGACCTCATTGAGCTGGCTGGCAGCTTGGTCTCAGAACCGGAGAAGCCGCAATAAACTGCAATAAGCTGCTGTTATTATTGCAGTAATAAGCTGCACCGTGCTGCACCATTTCAGCCGTGCTTTGTAGTGCCAGTTGTCAGTGGGTACCTGGTCTCAGAGGCATCCTTTAAGGAGCCATAGCCAGCAGCTAAGGCTACAACCACATTGTCCCAGGCCAAGCCTGCTATCCGCGCCAATATGATTCACACTTGGCTGAGAGAATTGCCTCAGATTTGGAACTGGAGGAAGATGACAAGGCAAGGTTCTTGAAGTCTGCCAGAAAGAGCGACCTTGCTTCAAGAATATTGATCTAGCTTGTGTGCCATTATGCATCTGCCTTGCAAGGATTTGCACGCATCAAAGGACAGTCCCCACATACCATTTTGGATCCAATTGGCAGAAAACTCCGCTAGGTTGTTTTGAAGCTGTGCAACCGATCCCGTGCCGCTGGGGTGATAGTTTCGCCGCTGGATGAGCTGGATGAAGTGCTGGAGGAGCTATTGGTGCTCCCGATACTCGGCAGCATGAGAAGAGAGCCTGGTGCATTTTAATGCCTTTTTCGGTTGCTGATTTGGTTTGGAGTTTGGAGATTGTAGGCTGGACAGGCTGGACACGTTGGTCTAGCCCAGGAAAATGGATGCTTGGTTGGAGGATAAGCTCAAGAAGCTGAAGGAGGTGCACCTTGGGCGCACAGCTGCATTCACGACGTCTAGAATCGTTGTTTAGAGATGTGACCAGTTTCCGGATGTGCATGGCATGTTTGGAACCATCGTCAGCAGGTTCACCCTGGAGACTTCGGTTTGACCTGGGGCTGTTTCGAGGAGCAAAAGAGGCACTGGTGGGCCAATGCCCCTCGTCATTCCATTGTTGCGGGAAGGCATTGGAAGGCTATTCAAGCAACTGCATTTCATGAATGCTGGGTCGTCGTTCTCCCATAGTTTTGCAGTTTTTGGGTAAAAGCCTTTGATGTTTTTTTTTTTTTCTCTCCGGGTAACTTGCTTCGCTGAAGTGAAGTTCCATTTCGCTTCGTTCCTTCTTTAGGCAATCCAGACTGTGCATATGGTTCCGACCAATTCCGAGGAAAGCCCCTGTTTTGTGGCTGAACGCTGGTGCATTTCAACGCCCCTCCTCAAAGCAGGCCAGTTCAGCAAGCTCAATTTTGAAAATTATTGTTTTCTGCCAGCTTCGCCTTCCAGTTTATTTCCTGCGTAATTTGTGACGTTTCTTGAGCCATCCCAAGAATTTGTGCCCAGCTGTTTCTACCAAGTGTGAGCCGGACACAACCAGTCGGGCCCAGGAAAGTTCTATGATGGGACGATGCGTGTTGGCTTCGTCATCCTTCACAAGCGCGACTTGCAACTTATCTAGAGCAAGGAGGATCTTTCGCGGATCTGGTCTTGTCACGGTTATCGTTTTGGTACCGGGTTCTTCAAAAAAACAGCCAACCAACTTGAAGTCTTGGCGAGGAGAGTTAGACACCCCTGGTCCCCCAATTTCAATGTTGTGTGACAGCAGCCTTCAAAAAAACAGCCATTCTTGCTCCGGGCATTGAGAAGCGATGGTTGGCAACATTGAGACAGGGGGTCCGGGGGCTTCCGGTGGATGTCGAAACTTTTTGGTCGATGGCTGTTTTTTTTGAAGAACCCGATGTCTACAACTGCAATTTACATTCCATTTGCCGGCACTGATTGTGAGGCAAGGAAGCAGTGAAAATGGCTTTCGCAAGGCCACTGATGGAGGCCAAAAGAATTACAGGAACTCTGATAGAATTGGATTCCTTTTCGTTTACATGTGTCCATGGAAAGCATTTGTGATTCTGGTACTCTTGGTACTGTGCAGCTTGGTGCAGGTCTGCAAGCTGATGCACCAAATGTGCCCCCGCCATCACCAGAGGAGTTGGCTGTCCACTGGCTGGGCGGGTACTGGAAACTTCCAAAACAAGATATGGCTTCAACGGACCTGCGAGAACGGGTTGTGAGCACCTTGACTCAGCAGATGGTAAAAACCTCTCCCACCACTACTGCACCAGCTTATGTAATGAAGACTCACGGTAGTTTGCATGAGTAGCTTGATATCACGATAGTATGACAAAAGCACAGAAGCCGAGTACTGTTTGGTTTTGGTTGGCCAGGTGCTGCAAGGACTTCTGGAACTGCCTTAGTACGATCATCGGTGCTGGCAGAAGTGTACTCAGCCCTGGGTTTCCTGTCCGAAATTGGCTATCACATCAGACTCTCCTTCCCTTCTTCCAAGACCGGTGCAGCTTATAATTCTCAAGAGGAGACGCACTGAAACCTCACACTCCACACTCGTCAAGTTTTACAGGCAGAGGCAAAGTCCATCAATCAAGCTATTTGCAAGTCCTATTTTATTCCCTGGGCCTCTGTAAGCCGGGAAGATTCCTTCCTAGAGGCAGTCCAAAGGCTTGTTTCTATTCTCTTGCTGCCGGACACGAATTCCGGCCAGAACCAAATGATCCAGACGATCAAAATCGATCAAAGCAGAATGTCCCCGCCTTTTTTTACTTTTGTACTTCAGCACAGGTGACTCTGTGCAGCAGTTGTTTGGTGGAGTGGATCCGAGCTCGAAAATGTTGGCAGATCGCTACAAGGAAGCACCGGAGTTGGCAGCATATCTGACCGCACGTGCCTCGAGAGCAAAAGTCACCCTCCTACACACCCCCTTGCTTGGATTTACTATTTTTTTCTAAATAGTAGAATTGCGCGAGTCGTTTTACATGCGAGTTTCTGTTTTCCCATTCGCGAGTTGGGTAGGTTTAGCAGTGAGCAACCGGGAGCAGCCGAAGATCAAGAAGATGCTGTACGACGCCCAGGTCCTTGCCAATAAAGTGCCAAGCGAACGCCCCGAGCTTAATCGTTTGTGTACACTTAGCATGCAGACAGCCAGGATACTATTCGACTTTGAAGGGACTTCTCAGATGGGACGTGATTAGACCTTATCACTCTGAATCTCTCTCTCTCTCTCTCTTTTTCTCCCTGTTTATATACATATAATACATACATACATACATACATACATACATACATACATACATACATACATACATACATACATACATACATACATACATACATACATACATACATTACATACATACTACATACATACATACATACATACATACATACATACATACATACATACATACATACATACATACATACATACATACATACATACATACATACATACATACATACATACATACATACATACATACATACATACATACATACATACATACATACATACATACATACATACATACATGCGTACATGCGTACATGCGTACATGCGTACATGCGTACATGCGTACATGCGTACATGCGTACATGCGTACATGCGTACATGCGTACATGCGTACATGCGTACATGCGTACATACATACATGCGTACATGCGTACATGCGTACATGCATACATACATACATACATACATACATACATACATACATACATACATACATACATACATACATACATACATACATACATACATACATACATACATACATACATACATACATACATACATACATACATACATACATACATACATACATACATACATACATACATACATACATACATACATACATACATACATACATACATACATACATACATACATACATACATACATACATACATATATATATATATATATACATATTTTAATATATATATATATACATATATTACAATATAACTATAACGGCTAAGTTTTTTCAACAGTTTTGGCCTGCAACGAGGTGGAAAGCATTTCATTGAGCCGCTTGGAAATATGAAGGTGTTTGGGTGTTGTATGGTGTTGTGTTTTGTGAGTCGGCCAGTCAAATTGAACACTGACGTTGTTGACGTCCCAAATCTTCTGATGCCTGAAGCTCCAACAAAGAGAGGCTTTGGACACCAAGAGGTCTAGAACGGCCTAGATGTGTCTGAGGATCTCAAGAGTGAGAAAACTTAGGGGACACTCGAGCGCGTTTTGGCAAGTAGATTTGTGAGAGCAATCTAGCCAAGATGTCGTTGGCAGGATTGATATCAGATTTAGCCAAAGATGGCCAAAGATGTCTAGACATAAAACATTTTCACACACAGATACACACAGACGCCGGACTGATGGACGGACAAACACACATACACATAGAAGCATAGACGACGGAGTAGGTCCGTACATAGCTTTCATCGGGTGGGAATATCAAACCAGAAAGATTGCTCTTGGCAAAAAGAACTTGATGTCCAGTGTCCTTGAAGGCACCAGTCTCTCAAAGTGTTGCGGCTGAAGCAACATGACTCTAACAACACCGGTCCCACTCAATTTACCACATCTTTGCCAAGAAGCCGCAAACACAGTTCTTAAAATGCCCGCAATACCTGTATCCATCCCTTGGTTCTTCCTTGTTCTTCTTTTTCTCTACTTGTCATGAGCGTGCAATAGCGTGCATGTTTTGCCGTGACCAAAAGAAAGCAGAGCAACAGCCGCAATCTGCTTGAATTCAACAAGGATCCTGCTGACCCTAGACATTTTAGTCCAAGAGCGGAATTTCAGGTGAGTCAGGTGAGTTCGGTGTTTCTAAATGCGGGTGACTGCACTGAGCTAGACGGGTAGACATGGGTAGACCGGGTCGATCATTTCGAGGTCGTTCATTGTTCGATGTTATGGTGTTCTTGAAGCTCGGAGTGATGCTCGAGATCGATGGCACACTGCACAGCGGCACTTTGTGAAGGCGCTCAAGCACCTAGGCTGCAAAAGCATCGTGTCTTGCAAACATCAAGTAGGTTGAAGAGCTGTCAGACAATGGTTGCTGTTTGCAAAAGAATTGTTTCCGTTGGCGCTCTTGAGAGTTTGTCAAAGGAAATGAGCCGCGAGGGGGGGAAACTTTTTTCCGAACAGAGTCCGCAGGATAGTGTTTTTGGGATACGTAAGCTCGCGTTCTGCCCTGGCTGACGGCCGCACAAGGTTGCATGCTGAACACAGGCAGATGTCCAAACATATGCAAACATATTTTTAAAGGAAAACCACCCGTAGTACTAGCTGCGTCGGTCACACTTGCTTTGTTTGGCCGTAGCTTGACCGGAAACTCATCAGGGGCGATTCCTCATTTAGGGTATTATTGATTTGATATTATCACATTTAGGCCGCATTGAAGTTCAGTTAAGGGTGAAAGTGGATTCCAGTGGTTGTCCAGAGGCACTTGGAGTCCAATGCGAATGCACTTTATCTTCTTGGGATGGCAGCGCTGGAGTTGGGCAAACCTGGTGAGGCAGTGAACCTGTTGAACAAGAGCTTGCTGCCAAGCTGACAAAAAAATCATTCCAAAATCATAAAGTTGCAGAGCCCACCAAGCGGTTCCAATTTAATAGCCCTGAAAGCATTGTTCCAATTCCCGAGGTTTCTGGATCCAGACTTCAAAGCTCCTTATGTGAACCTTGGGGTTGCTTATCTTAGACTGAAATTGTTTGAAGAAGCGATCTACATCTCGGAAGCATGCCTGGAGCGACACCCATCATCGCCTCAATGCCAGTAACATGGCTTAAATATGCTTAAATTAATTACATGCCACAGACGCCACAGATGCCACATGCCTCAGACTTAGGTCACAGCAGTCTTCAAATATGGCCTCAAACATCAGCCAAATCTTGGAACCTTCCTCCTAGGTATCACATTGGCATTGCCTCATGCCAGCTGGCCTTGCTCATTGAAGCGCGAAGTAGAGGTGGTGCTGTTCTCCCTGCATCGGAGCGGGAGCTTTACGAGACCTGGCTCAACATTTCCTCCCACCAAGCATCACCCATCGATTTAGACATGGCTTAGCTGATGCCATGCGGGGCAATGAAGACGATTCAACCATGTCCCCATTGGCTTGTGAAAGCTTCGAATCAAAGACGTTCGATATTTTCACATGTTTGAATCAAAGATGTCTTCACAGCTTCACATGTTCGCAGATGTTTTCAGCCCAGGATGAGTTGCTGAAACGCACAGCAAGCTCGATGGCTGAAGCTCGACAGAGCGAAGAAGGGATGAAGCGAAAGCCTGCCCCAGGCAGCTGTCGTTTACCCGCAGCTTGGTCTCAGCTGAGTTTTGGCCTTTCTCAACCCAGCGGATCTAGCACAATGCAAAAGCTACTGTAGCGAATGGCCAAGAAGCCAGGGATAGGTGTCAGGTTTTGTTCAGCAAGATTGGCTTTAGTAGGAGACATTTATTCAATTTATTCTCTTCCAAGAATGGGGTTCGATCCTGTACTTGCAAAGGTTCTCGAAGTCACATTTATGGAGATTCTCACTGTTGAGCTCAGTGATGATGAATATGAAGATAAGCATGCAACCATGCCTGGCCGAGTGAGCTCTTGTGATTTCCTAAGCAACCTGAAAGACTCACAAGCTACGTGTGAACCTAAGGAAGCTCCTTGGCTGGAGACAGACCAGCAGATGCTAGAGGCAATGGCTGTGAATGGCTTGAGGCCTCGTCAGCAAGGTTATGCTCAGGACTGGCCTGGAGTAGCACAGTTGAAAAGCAGGCTGAACATGGATGAACATTGATGCACGTTGATGAACATGGAGTCTCTGATCCAGGGGCGACAATCGCTTGGCATCCGTTTGGCAGGATCCAGTCAATACGCTTCGTGAAATACGCTTGTCTCCGACAGCTGGGTGGAAAGTCTTCGGCTGGCGAACATGAAAAAAGGATAAAAAAGGTCGCGTTTCAACGGACCGGACAGTGACTGGACAGTGAACCGGACTACCGAATTCTGCCCCAGCTAATGGACGGTGCTCTTGCTCTCACGGATTTCTGTTGCTCTGTTTCCTTAGGGGCGATTCTTATAATTAAGACATATTAAGAATATTAAGAGTGAGTAAGGAGAAACAAAGAGATGCTTAAGCACGTAAGCTAGAAACAAAGATGATCTTCAGGGATGTGCTTTGAGCTTTCGCCCTGTAAGGAGCCCTCAGACTCAGACATACTCTGGTTTACTCTCAACCTTTTTCCCACATTTACGGTAAACATTGAACGAACAGCCGACAAACATTGACAAACCAATCGAAACTGGATACTTCAGAGACCTTATCCATTCTTGGACTCCACATCAGATACTCTTCCACAGATCCATGGGCAGCAAACAAGATATCAAGCATAAAGAACTTGGTGACTTTGAGGATAGCCATGCTGGAGATCATCACATGTCGGTGCATCTCGAAGATTGGGACCAACCTTTCCGCGACACGGTGCAAATGGTGGATTCAAACAGATAGCATGTGTTGTGTAAGGTGCATGTCTTTCACACGGGTATGGGCGCGCAGTTTCTTGTACACACGGCATATAGCACTGTGAATCGCTGTTCGTTTCACAAGTCAGCCTGTCAGCATGGTATGGTTTATGTCGTCTCGATATCTTTCGGGTTGTGCTATGAGATGCTGTCAGATGCACTGTCGTTTCGGCGCGTGACGGCTGCGTTGCACTGAATCAAGGCAACGAAACAGCGGAAATGCTGTTTCTACAAAAGTTAGGAACAAAGGAAGACAGGGTTGAACCGAGGAGTTTAGATAGTCGGAATGAAAGAGAAACTGCGTACCAGTAGCTCCCAACATACAGCAACGGCCGTGTGACCTGTCAATTTTCCTCTCAAGCCACAGAGCACTTCGAAGGAACAGCGTTAACCCAAGTAGCGTATGGCCTTTGGCAATGGGCTGTGTGTGCCGTTGCTTGAGGCTCGGTTGATATTCCTCGTTTCCAGCAGGGTTACCAGGGTTAGGGACGTTAGGGACGTTAGGGACGATTCAGCGATCTTGGCAGGAGCAGCTGTCACGGATTTTATGCTCTGCTGCGCAATGGCCTTTGGGACGATCCAGCTGAAGCGGTTACAGGTGCTGTGTACGATGATTTTGTGAAAGCTGTTGGGAGTCACGACCTGCCACCTGCAACTGCAATCTACCTGACGTGGCGGTATTGCTATTTGAAATGCTTCGTTCTGATTGGAATTGTGTGGGCGACTGCGTCATTTGACTCGTGGGTGCCAGACAGAGCAGCGCTGGACAGCTTTGCGGCAAGTCTTCCACAAGAAATTCAACCAAACCGCTACGAAACGTTTGTTGTCATTATGTTGTGGTGGAATCCATGCTTGATGTACATATGGAGTAGCTCTTTCCTGATTGTCTTGGCAGCAATTTTTTTCGCTGCCCCATCCAGAGTTTGCAAACGTTCTAATCGCCATGTCTCGCGCTACCTGGTCTGGGTGGCCTGGTTGTGGAATTTCTTTCTTCCATTTGCTGTGCTCTTGGCGCTCACTTTTCGGCACACCATTGACCACCGTGGTTTGAAGGAGGCTGGGGCTGATCATCCACACAGGCCGCATGCAAACCACCATGAATTTTAGCAGATCGCAAGCTGAGATGCTTATGTACAGTTCAAAGTGGGGTTTTGCAGATTCTCTGTCTCCTTGTCCTCAGATGCTGTCACACCTGTCGTACCGTACTTCCTTTGAGCAAAAGGCTAGATTCTGACTTCACTATGGGTTCATTAAACCCTTCTTTGCACATATGCGAGGCAATGTGTTTAGTCCCAATTCTTGCGCGGAGGACTTGTGCGTCGTGGCAGTCTCTCGCAGTATGAGCTCTCCCGGATTGGATCTCAACTCTGCAGTGAACAAATTAGAGCAGCAGCAGCTCTTCTCGCAAAGGATTAGCACATTGTTGGATGACCAGGACTTGGGACAGCGGTGATGACGTAGGCTTTCCAAGTACAAATAGTAAAATCAGTGTGTTTCTGTGCTGGACTAGACATTTTCTCATCCTTTAACGAATGTTGGAATTCGTTAAGGACTCAAGGCCTATAGTTTTTCGCTTTCTCTTCACGAGTTTTGATTTAGAGACCATGCTTGACAGCCAGGATCAAAGCAAAGTCACGGCGAGCTCTGCTCGGCTCTGGTGTCAGCAGCATCCCGACGACTGGCAGGTCATTTTTTGCCAAGAAGCATCACAGCCGCAAGAATAGACCGAGTCCCAAAGCTTCCCAAAGCTCATTGCCCATCCAGCCCGTCCCCTGGTGCAAAACTATTCTCCCAGTCTCCCAGTAGGATGCTTAGTCCATTTCGATGTAATCTCCAAGTCTCCTTGTCAGCCTTTCAGCGGTCGCATTTCATTTTGTCCTGGCAGAGTGGTGTGGCCAAAGGGTGGCTAGAACAAACTGGGTCTGATTGGTGAACTGATACACAAGGTAGTTGACTGCGTTTTGACTGTGGACCAGCGATGCCGGCAAGAAGTTTGTCCGTCAGCACCAACGGAGGAGATCAGGATGTTACTTCCAAAATTGTTCCAATCTCACTCAGCAAGCCTCCTTACTCCTGCTTTGCACTTGACATTAGATTTGCACATTGCAAGTGACGTTCCATTTTGCATTTGTAATCATGTTGATATTTTCAGCTTTGAAGTGAAGCTTGGCGCACCAAACCCCTGTCTCCCTTAGTACTGACAGTTGATAAATCAGTAGCAATCTTTTTGCAGAGGATCTTTTAGCAATTTGCTTCTGAGAGGATTTGATTTTGTAAGCCGGTCTGTTGCCACATCAGCTTCAAGGCCTGGCAACATGAATCTTCAGGGCCTTTTCGGGTGAGACAAGGGACATGCAGAGTTGAGTCGCATTGGTTTTGAGTCATGTGATCTGAATACCATGTGCCACAATGCCATATCCATATATATATATATAAATATACACATACACATATATATACATATATATATAGTAGAATATGATATAAGATTATAAGACTGTCATTGAAAGACACATAAAGACACCTTGTGTCCAAAGATATCCTATTCATCAAACAGTTGCCATGGCTCCTGGCAATGGCCGCATCGTCCTGGCCCCTGGTGCACCACAACACATCTTGGACCTGTGCCGTGCTTCTGCACTTCAAAGTCCCAAGGTCAAGGTGATGCAAACATGTCGCAACAAGAGCGATGCAAAGGATGCAAAGGATGCAAAGGATGGAAAGGATGGAAGGGATGCAGTGAGCCGTGCGCATCAGCTGAGCCAAACAAAACCACTGCGACGGCCTCACACCGAGCGACGACGCATGCGGCACAGCAGTAGCAGGGAAAGCGTGGGCACACTCTTCTCCGGCGAACGGGTGGGTGGCCATCTCATGCGTGGCTCAGCAGTGATCTTCCGACGACCTCGACGCTCCAGAATGCCTCCGCACCAGCGACCTATCTTCCTAGTCAGTGACAACGGCACCGACGCGAGAGATAGCCTGGATATTCATGATCCCAAGAGGTTTTCAAGTGTGGAGAGGACATTTGCATTGAGGGGCATCCGGCACCTGAACCCTTTGCTCCCAACAGCAACAGGCTCAAGGCCTTGTTCTGTGGCAAGTGCCAGCAGTTGCTCCAGTCCGATCCCGGTAGATACAGCCATTGCCGCTTTTCGACCTGTGAGCCAAGGTTTTGCCTAGGCTGAAAATCAGCGTTGCTCACTGTACAACAAAGTACAAGTCAAGTCCTTGAGAACAACTTCAAGGGAGTTTCACTCAAGATCCCTTTCCCTCATGCTTTGCGCTGAATTTTGTCATGTAATTTGCTTCGACCCAACCAGCCCTATCTATCTACAGCTTTGGAGGGAAAGGCTGCGTTGCCGACAAGCCTTTGGTAAAGCCTGATGCTACTAGGCATGCAGGCTCGAGACAGGCTTAAGCGGTGCCTCATTGTACAACCCCCCAAAAGGGGGTGTCAGAGGCGAATTTGGCCAACTTGCCAGACAAATTTGTTTTCTTTGACACTGGCAGGTGGTAAAAACAAATACCCTTTTCCATTCTATTTTCATTCCCCTCTTGGTGTTCGTATCGGCAAGTTTTTCAGGATGCAGCTTTGTTTGATTGTGACAGTTCATTGCGCCTTTTTAAGCCACTTTTATTTGTTGTTTGGCTTGCCGGTCCCATTGTCCAAGTTCAACTGGTTGTTTCAGGACCCAAATGTGACAAATATATGAAAATCATTGAAAATGTGTGCTGCCCTCTATGTCTTTTGCCCTGTCCCATTTCCATTCGGTCAGCGGTCAGCCCAGAAGACATGAATTGTATCGAATTATCCTACTGCTATCTATTGCTTGTGATCGTTGCCGCTGTCATTGGCGTTACTATAGTAGTCTTGGCTAGGTTGTTGTCGTCGCGGTGCTGGTTGTGGTGATGGTGGTGATTCGTCAGCGTCGCAGTGATCGGGGGAAACAGTGATGTTGATAGAGATTAATAATGATTAATACTGTAATGATTAATAATTATTGATTGATTGGAATGTTTGGGGATGATCCGTAAAAGGTACAGAGAGAGGGACAGATGTTTTAAGTACGGTGCGATTGAGTCAGGCTTTTTTTTCCTCATGGGAGGAGCTCCAAGAGTGTAATCAACGGTGCTTGGAATATGCGCAGCAGAGCGGCGGCAGCAGTGGTCAGCAGTTCATGGAGTCTCTCTCAGAGTGCAACTTGGAGTCAGACGTTGAGACCTGCATGAGTCTCTCTCAACATCTCTTTTAAATAATACCGTGTTTCTTATCTCAGTCTTGCCCATCCTTTTCGCCTCAAAATGTGTAGATTCTGGAAACAGTTTGTCCTACGACTGCAGGGCTGAGATTTGGTACCATATGCGACATGGGGCCATTCAGCAAACTCAAACGGAGCCATTCTGCTAAGCAAGGGTCTGTGCGGAGTCTTCCTTTGGGCAGCTTCATGCTCTATTCTCCGCTTGCCTCATGGAGGTAAAAGATGTGACTGTATGTTTATGCTGCATTCAGTTTTTTTTTGTAATAAATAAATAAGTTAAAAAATAAACACACACACACATATATATATATATATAGTCAACTCCACTCACGTTTCATGTACATTTTATGAGTGATGACACCCTCACCTGGCCACTAAGGGAACTGACGTACAGATGTGAATGCACGTGCCATATCGGGGCAAATGCCCCTCGCACGTAGGGCCCTTGAGACCGCTGATGGCACGGGGCGTTCTGACGCTTTACTTGGAAGGTGAGAAGTGAAAAGAGAGACTGATTGCCTTTACTCTGGTTAGCAATGATCGGGACTCTGTGATAATAAGGTTTGCCTTAGATCGGATGACTGTGATTTGCATCAGTGTTTGCAACTTCGTGTGTGCAACACGGACCAACTCACTGTGTGGCACCTGTCTGCCATCGCTGCTGAGTTGAGATGGTAGCGGAGCCGGTAAGATACCAGCACCTGCGGCAGTCACTACTTCCTGCCTGAGACTGTCGCTTTTGCTGAGATCTACGGCATGAGTGGAACCTGAGTGGAAACGGCGATGGGGGAAATAGACAGCCCAAGGGCACTCCGCCCGCTATGCCTGCTGGACCACCTGCTCCAAAGGCTAGTGCTTCGGGATCAGCTGGAGGTGGAACTGTGAATGGTGCTGAGACCGATAGGTTTCAGGGTGGACTGGACTCTGGATTGGCCAAGGCTGCCCCGAGTGCAACTGGATTGAGCCAAAAGATTTACCAGTCACAGAGAAGAAGGTTAGACTTGTTTGTGGCCAATGTTTCCGAAGGGGCAAAGATGTGGCCATCGAGGGAGCCTACTTGGTTTTGTCACGGCTGCAGGATGTCGCATGAGACGCTGCTCAGAGCATTGTCTATGGCCCTTTAAAGCCTCTGAGGGAGAGAGACGCTGGATTTGTCGTTTCAGCATGAAGAAGAGGTGGAACTCCCTGAGCGATGCCAGGAGTTCTTCGAAGCCTTCAGCCGTGAGAAGAACGGAGCTGGAAGCTTTCCTGGTGAGGCATCAGACGTAGCTGCGGAAGCTGAAGGAGCTGAAGGTGGTGGAACCACCATTGTCGGCTCACGCAGCGGAGTGCCGCGGTGGACTCACCGACAGGTGAAAGCCATGTGTGGGGGTGAGCTCAATGTGGAGAAGGTCGCCAAGGCCTTGACAAGGATTTTCGGAGGAGATTCAACACTCAATGCCAAAGATGCAACCTTCAGACAGACAGTGACGATATGCACTTCTTGGACTATGACCCTGACGAGTCCGGGTTTGCTGAAGAGCTCTACTATGGTGATGACTGGCAATGGGATGATGAGGAATGGTATGATGAAACTCAGTTCGACACCTTTGAAGAGAGGTTCCAGAGGAGCTGGACCAAGCATCTCAAGATGTCGAAGATGCCAATGTGAACTACCTGGACAGCCGACAGAAGATGAGAGAACTTGCGCTGGCAAGAGGCTTCTACCCTGTTGTCGCGCTCGCTCGGCATGGGCAACAGCAAGGGTGGTGGCAAAAGCAGTGGCAAGGGTTTTAACAAAGGATTGAGAGGAAACGGAAAACGAAAGAGCTCTGCCGAGGGGAAGTCAAAAAGGCTTCACCCCACCTGGTGCTAGACGATATGTCTACGGTCGCCGTGGTAAAGGCGATGCTACGAGCTCTAATTCTTCAACTTCGTTGCCAAAGTCCACAGCCAGTGGAAGTACCCAGCAACATGGTCCTCGTTTCAAACGATATCGCCGGCCGGCGAGTGGCATCAAAGAAGTCCCTGGTGAGGTAACAATGATTGAGGACATCGGCCGCCCAATGTCGATGTTCCCCTGGATTTTCGTAACATGGACAATGTCCTCATGACTGGTGGTGCCGCGCCTACATGGGCCATACTGGATAGTGGTGCAACCAAAACTGTGTGTGGTGAAGCAGCATGGGATAAGTTTTCCAACTACTTGGTGATGAGAGACCTCATGGACAAGGTCGACTTCACCAAGACGCCAAAGATTTTCGCTTTGGTGATGGTGTGAGCGTCCGGTCACAGACGGTCGCCAAAGTCTCTGTCTGCGTTGGAAAGAAGTGGAGAACCCTGCTGATTCATGTGCTGCTTGGCCACACTCCTTTGTTGCTGGCGAGGCCCGGCTTGGAGCTTGGACCGTCGTTGTCAACTATTGCACAAAGGTCGTCACTCTGGAAGGAGAAACTGTTCAGCCATCCTTTTCAAAGAATGGTCACTGCTCTTCATCGAGCCCCAGTGGAAGAAGATGAGCTCACGGTAGGTGACTATGTCTATGTCTATGTCTACTACTGGAAACCGCAGGCCAACAAGCTAGACCCTTTCAGATGGAGAGGTCCGTGCGTCGTGGCGGTTGAACCAACTCCAAACCACATGATCTACCGGGTCGCGCATGGGAGTTCTTTGGTTCGTGGAACTCGCCAGAAGTTGCGCTATGAGCCCATCTCTGAGAACTACGAGCGACAATCAAGCCTGAGCACTTGGAGGCCTTCAAGAAACCAATTCAACAACGACTGATGGATGTGCTTCGTCCTGTCCGAGATGAACCACCTGGCGCAAATGAGGGTGACGCGCCCACGGATGGAGGTGATAATGGACCTGATTTCCCACCTTCGGGGGGTATGGTTTCCGCTGACGCTTCATCAACAGCTGCAGAGGCCCCACCAAAACGAGCAAAGAAATCGGCTTCAACTTCCACTACTGCAACACCAACTGAGGAGCTCATCGCCTTTGTTTGGGGCGATCCACCTACTCTCCCCACATCTGCGACCGAGACAGCTGGTGAGATGCCAGGCAATGATGGGGAGCTTTCTGAAGAACAGCTGAAGCCCAAGAGACAACTTCAGGTCACACGCCCTGAAGCGCTGGACAGTCGGCATGAGATCGATCGAAGGTCGCCTGAGAAGACCGATGTCAGAGAGAGGAGGCACTTTAAAAGTGCACTGAGGTTAGCTGAAAAAGCCTCAGACGACAGAGCTCGTTGACTTGACGGGTTACCACCTAGGTCAAGACGTCAAGCTGAGGCCAAGCAACCGAAAGCTGAAGAGATCAACTTCCTGGAAGTCACCGAGGAAAACGTCCTAATGGCCGTCACTGAGAGCAAGCTGAGCCCTGAGGAGAAGAAAAGGTTTCTTGCTGCCAAACGACAAACGACAGGCATTGGAGCCTTGGTGTGAAAATGACGCTTGGAGACCCATGAAGAGGGCAGAAGCCCCTCTTGGTACAATTGTGCCAATGCGCTTCTTTCTTAGATACAGAAAGAAAGAGCCAAATGCCCGTGTGATCGTCCAGGATTTAAACGCCGTGATGTGGTGGATACCAGGCCCAACTGAGAGCCCAACTTTGTCAAGGTTGGCCAAATACCTGCTTGTCGTCTACGCTTGCATCAAGCGATGGCGCCTGGGAACAATGGATGTCAAGTCCGCCTTCCTTCAGAGTGACTACATCCACAAAGAGGTTGAGATCTATGGAGAGCCTTCGGCCGACCTGAGACGGCTGCTTGCTGAGATGATCGGTCTCAAAGTGTCTGCCTGCTTTTGGAGATGTCCGTGCACCTCGCCAATGGAATGACACCTCAGATTGAGCCCCTGACCACTAGAGTCGATCTGTGGAAACATGCGTTGGATGGATATTTATACATCAGCGCTCGAGAAGCAACGCAGGCTGATGACTCCTGTGAGGTTTTTGAGTACGAGGGAAAAAACATGGTGGTCGATGGACTACTTGAACTTCATGTCGATGACATACTTGCTTGCGGTGAAGGAGTCTATTCCAAGGATGATGTCAAGGAACCAGTGGGAGCACCCACGTGCTTCTCTGAGCGACCTTTCATCTTGCTCAAAAGGTTCAAGTTTGGCAGTGTGGATTATGGGGACAACCAGACCTTTTGCGGTTGCCAAGTCCAACAAACCATGGGCTGTTCTGCTGTCAGTTCCGACTTGCAGCGATACCTTCGCCGACTCAAACCCTTGTCGGTGGAGAAGTCCAGACGCCGAAACCCTGATGAGAAAGTGACGCCAAAAGAGCAAAGTCAGCTTCGAGGCCTGTCGGGAGGACTAGCCAGGCCTGCAAACCAGACACAACCACACCTTTCGGCGTCAGTGTCGATAGCACAAGCTGGTTCTGCAAATACAAAAGTTTCCGACTTGCTGGAAGCGAACTTTGCAAAGATGGCAGCCGACATCCCACTGAAGCAGCGCTCACATTGACACCTTCGAGATATCCACATTGGTCTCTACACTGATGCGTCCTGGGCATCACCTCCTGATGGAAGCTCGCAGGGCGGATGGATAATCTTCATGGGTTCTGAGGAGGAGTTCAACTGCAACAAACCCTTTCCGCTCACCATCGTGGATTGGAGTTCCAAGAGGCTGACACGCATGTGTCGAAGGTCTTTTCCAGCTGAAGCTCAAACCCTAGCTATGGCTGTGGACGCACTTGAGTGGGTCAAACAGTCTTTGCGCTGATGATCTGATGATCTGGCCAAACCAGAGGCCGGACAACGAAGAGATGATGAGATGGCTCGGACTTTCACCTTGCACCATAGATGCATGCAAGAGCCTTGCTCGATGCCAGCATTTCGAAAGCTCCGGGAATGGAGCTTGCCGAGAAGAGGACTGCAATCGAGGTGAAAATCTCTGTGGAGCGCATGGAGGTAGCTGGAGGGTCTTGCTTTGATGCAACTCACACCAACAACTTGCAGATGGAGTCACGAAAGCATCGGCCCGGCAGAAATTGGCTGATGAGCTGAGGAGACGTGTCGACTGTCTCAAGTATGACGCAAGCTACACTGCAAGCAAGAAGTCAGCAAAGCTGAGAAGGAAGAGGAACTCGACCGTGCTGCTGAGGAGGTTGAGAGACAGAGAAGGTTCCAAGAAGGGATCTACAAGGTGGAGGACTTGGAAGAAGAAGAGAAGGATGCCTGCAACATTTGTCAGCTGGATGGATGCACCCTGCCTGCTGAAAAAGGACGGAAGTTCTGGAGCAAGAGACACTTTCATGCTGCGCAACACAAGCAGAGGAGGAAGAGCACTGAGAACGCTGCTGGAGTTCTCTGGTGCCTGACCCTGGCTGCTCAAGCCGTGGCGTCGGATGCCCTTTTTGGAGATGATCGACATGCCCTATGTTCATTGACTTTGACTTTGGCTGGTTCATCATCAAGTCAATTCTCTATGTCTTCGCGATTGCCTGCTTGACGCTCTGGTCCTATGCAATGGGGATCCAAGAAGGTCGTCTTCGCTGAACTGGCTTCCGTGAGGGAGGTCAAACGTGGACTGAGAGAGCTAGATGAAGTTGGCCGGCGGTAGATCTCACCCAGTTTTTTTCGTTTTGGCCCTGTGTCAACTCCACTCACGTTTCATGTGCATGGCATGAGTGATGACACTTTCACCTGGCCACTAAGGGAACTGAGGGAACCGAGGTACAGATGTGAATGCACGTGCCATATCGGCGCAATGCCCCTCGCAGGTAGGGCCCTTGAGACCGCTGATGGCACGTGGCGTTCTGACATGTTCTGACGCTCTACTTGGAAGGTTAGAAGTGAAAAGACAGAGAGCCCAATACCTGCCCGCAACTGATTGGAGAGAGACTGATTGCCTTTACTCTGGTTAGCAAAGATCGGGACTCTGTAATAAGGTTTGCCTTAGATCGGACGATTGTGATTTGCATCAGTGTTTGCAACTTCGTGTGTGCATCACGGACCAACTCACTGTGTGGCACCTGTCTGCCATCGCTCCTGAGTTGAGAGAGAGATATATATAAATATACATACATACATTGGCAAATGCACATAAACACCAATGCACATGCACACAAATGCACATGCACACAAATGCACACACACACACACGCATAACACACACACACATAGCACAGAGAGAGAGAGAGAGATATATATGTATACATATGGAGAGAGAGATATATATATATAGATAGATAGATAGATAGACAGATAGATAGATAGATCGATAGACAGAAAATTAGATGGATAGAGCGATAGATAGATAGATAGATAGATAGATATAGATAGATAGATAGATAGATAGATGGCTAGACAGGTAGATAGATAGGTAGGTAGGTAGGTAGGTAGATAGATGGATGGATAGATAGATAGATAGATAGATAGATATAGATACACTACACATAAACAACCAATAAGAAAAAATGATTAAGCAAATTAAGCACATAGGTAAATAGATAAGTTAATGCATCAGTGAATAAATAAGTAAATAAGCATGTATATATATATATATATGTTATACATTTGATGGAACTTACACGCGCACACATAATATCATCACACACACACCAATACATGTATACACATAGAATGGGTACATATAGCTATGTGCACGCACACACTGATGCGGATTGCTATTGTTTGCGGCCTTGAGGCAAGACGACAGGGTCAGGCAGCTTGAAGTTGCAGGCGCCAGTCATTAGCCTGTCTCCAGAGGAAGCTTCGTGCGGGGATGCCACCAAGCAGCTGGAGGCATTGTGACAATGCAAGGTTTGGAAGATGTTGTGCAGGAGGATAGCATGATTGGACTAAAACCAAAGCAGATTCCAAGGGATGAATGTTGCTGGTAGGCAATGCAGAGGGGCTTTCTGCAGCAGCAGCTTAACATGAAGGACAGTGAGTGTGCGAGCACCAGCGGAAGCTTTGCACTTTGTGTTGGTTTCCTTGGAGTTCCGGGCTGGGTTCTGAGGTCTCAGCTGAGTAACCGTTTCTACTAGTTTTTTGGCCTATGAATTGTAGAATGGTTTCCTTTCCTTTCACTTATTTGTTTGAACTTGCTTCCTAGTTTTTACTTTCTTTGCGCAGGATCAATGCACATATGCGTCAATGGCAGTTGATAAGGTGCAGCCTGCAGGGTTGTGGGTTCCATGAAGTTCGGTAAGGGTCAGATGTTTCCACACTAGGCGATCATATTTTTACAATATTTGGACCACAATGCTCACTGTTCCCCCCCAGAACGTGCGGTGCAGGTGGAGTATGTGGCGGGATTTCTGGTGGGCGTAGAAGCAGGAAAACTGCTGTTGCCGAGTGCCCTATCGATCTTGGGTGGTTTGGCAGAGTCCATCTTCAACATAAAGGTGGGGCACTTGTGGCACTTGCTTCTTAGAACTAAATTGTTTGGCGAGCAAACCCTTGCCTCGTGAAAAGCTAGATGTTCCAACCATACCTGTCTTATCCTGTCATATCTTGTCATAATAAACACTGTACCGATATTTCCTTCACAATTTGCCTTCCAATTGCCGTCGCCACATTGTCAGGTCCTTTTTCCTGGACACAAAGAATTTCCCTTTCTGCTTCTTCTCACTTCGTTTGAGGCACTGCCAATCTACATGGCAATGCTGGCCGCCCCCCGGCTCCTGTGATAAGAAGTTGATGAAAGACAGTGACTATTCTAGCAAATGTTTCTTCAAATTATTTAGCTTGATGCAAATTCAATTTTTGGCCCTAAAGGAGCCAGCTTGTGGATCTTCAGTGGGTGGTTTTGACTTTCTGTGCAGCATTCCTTGTGCTGAGGTAGCTCAGCAGATTGTTGGAGACAGCACCTTGCTGGCCACACGTCTTAAAGTGGATGCATCGGATGCATCGGATGTGTATGTGGAAAGTTTGTGTCCTCCGTAAGAATGGACGGAACGGAGTTCGTTTTCACGGTTTCCCTCAGCAACTCTGAAACCTGGCACTCGGGCATTGACTTGTCACAAGACATCAAAGCCATGCAAAGTGACACTTCCATGGTGCGGTACTTCACGGGTGGGGATGACCCAAGTGACAGCACTGAAAGCGCACTCGCTTATAGCGAACTCACTGCGCCCGATCCAAAATCTCGCGTTTAGTTGGGGGAACTTCCCGGGGAAAGTCGCCCCAGCATGCGTTTATTTGCTGTGGAGCAGTTGCGTAAGATAGAAAATTATGCTTTAGCAGTAAATATGGCTTCATTGAGCTTGTGTACACTGGTGAACTTGTTTTTTTGTCATGCCTGGTCTGGCTCATTCATGTGACCGTCGAGCAAATCCAGTCACGTGTTTACATGTCGCCCTGCCGGCGGGGTGCCTTTCTAGAGTAGTTGCATCGATTCATCTAATTACAGTAGATGCTGGCCTGCTGCTAGGCTGTTGTCGGGCCTATGCTGGGCTGCTGCTAGGCTGTCTTGGGCAGCGTAAAAGCTGCTGCCGAGCTGCTGCCAGACTGCTTCTAGATTCCTGCTAGAGACTTGCCGCCAGGCTGGTGGTAAACTGGGGTTTCCAAAGCTATTTTCTGACCTCGTTAGGGCCTCGTTTTGGCCTCGTTCGGAACCCGTGATTTAAGACCCACCTGATTGCCCAGTTCAAATGTATGGGTTGGCTGAGGCAGAACCAGCTGGGGAATTTGATGCTTTGTTTGAAGAAGAGCACAGTTTGGCCACAGAAAGTGGTGGCAGAAACAGATGTAAATCAGAACCCGGTAGATTTGTTTCCAAAACATACATGAATCATGCATTCACACGTGTTTTGAACCAAAAGAAGACATTTCTTAGATGCACTTGCTATACTTTGAACATTTGAATTAGATGCGTTTTGTAACGAAAGAAATCTTTTACCCAAACATACATGAATCATGCGTATACATGGTGTTTTGATATCGAAATAGATCGTTTTGTTAGTAATCCTCCATAGTTTGAAACCATTGGGGCGGTTTGCGTTCTCATGATGTTTTGTACATTTGGGATGATCTTTTTTTGTACGTTTTCATTTTCGTGCTGCGTTTACAATGGGCGAAAAAATTGGGGTGACTTTTCCTAGCAGTTGGGGGGCGTAGTTCCATGATGTTCCATGCGAGAATGACAGTTGACTGCAACGTTGCGGGACCTTCGCCGGCACTGTGTACCAAATCTTAATTGAACCGAATTGAAGCGTACACGGGCATTTCCACTGGAAACCATTCAGCTCAAAAACATGCACTACCCAAGCAAAAACTTGATTGCAATTCTTCTAGAAACCAAACTGAGCCTCTGCAACTTGCAACCATGATGAGATCTGCGCAGGACGCGCTTGTGGCAAATTAAGAAGGGGTGCTTGCCAAGTGCTTTGAGATTTGTTTACCAGATCGTTTTGGTATGACTGCCTCAAGATTTCACTTACCCCAAAACAATAGTGATTTAGAAGGCTCTTCCAAAAAAATCTGGGACACGAGTTCATTGAAATTAGAAAAAGTAGACGGGTTTGTGTGCTTGACCTGAGTTTGGCCTCACGTACACGGATACTGCTTCAAGATCCATTCAGTCTGTGAAATTGGTCCTTATATAATTGAGGCAGGCGCATGTGCGAGTCACGCCTTAAATCAGAATTGATTATTCTTGTGCACATGTGACAGCTGGAATGGTTCCTTCACGTTCTGATGGTGCAGGTGACATGTCTTGCGTTCATTGCCTATGTCGGTCTTCCAGCTTTGACGGGCTGTTTGACTCGAAATTTGCGTACTGGACCTGAACATCGGTGGCAGTTCTACCGCAAGGTGGCTTTAAAGACAAGGGACATTGTGCTGGACTGTACCAACGCGTAGCAACATTTTCTTCCTAAGAGAATCGGGCCGACATGATTCACTTGATGTCGCTTTCTGGTCCTATGCCAGACGATTTGCTTGACTCAAGATGCAGCAAACCCTCACACCCAGAGCACATTTTGCCATTCAGATTGTGAGATCCGTGAGTCATTCTCAGTGCACAAGCTTTTGGCAGCCTCTTTCCACAGCCGCAAGGTCTGGCTGGAGTACGGTTTGAGAGCTGCTCTGGGTCTGGCAATGTTTCTTTCATTTAGCCAGTATATGAGGCGCATGGTCGGTTGAAGATGTTTGAAGTGAGTGAAAGAACGAAACGGAGAGGAACTATTTGCTGAGATTTTCCTGCAAGTGCCGTCAAAAGATAAGACGAAAAGATAAGACGAAACGGCCTTGGAGGGAATTTTTGCTTCATGAAATATGAACAACAACTGCCAATCAACTGCCTTCATTGCCAGGAACTTGGTTGGCGATCGGATTGTTCCGCTTTCCCCATTCAGAATGATGCGACTTGGCCGCAGCCCAGACCCCATGGCAAGCTGGACAGCTTGAGGATTCCAATGCAGAAGTCATTTTCTTTGGTTTTGAGTTTTGAACAAATCCAATTCCTGAGCCAAATCTGAGAGGTAAAAGGGCTGGTTCAAAGATAAGAGCTTGAAAACCAAGAATTGGGATGCTATTGAACTACTACACGCGCAAGACTTTGACAGCCGTGGCTGCCACGGATGCTGCCTTAAGTGCATTCTTGCAGTGTGAGCTGTGGCGCCAAGCCTTTGCAGAAGCTGATCATGCTGCCAACAAGGACGGCTTTGAATCAATTGGATTGCTGCTAAGGGGGGCAGTGGCATGTGCAAGGTGCGCATGTCTCAAACAACTTGCAAGACCGCCACCCAAGAACTCCCAAATTTGCATAAGTTAGCTTCAATTGCTTCATGTGTCTGCTGAGTCTACTTACTTGACCAGTGCGAGAGAACGCTTCAGACTTCCCTGAGGAGAGAATCTTATCGCTTGGACCAGTCTTGTTGAGGAATGGCAGCGGCAACCAGGGTGCACAACTTAAACCTACCGAGACTCTCACAGGGAGTGGTCCTGAAGCCAATGCTATTGGCAGAGGGTCCAACGTGGAGGAAGACCAGAAGGATCAGAACAAGAAAGCGGAGAAGGTGGAGCTGGGGCAGTGCGAGGCACTGGAGTGCCAGGATAACGACAAGGATCAGAAGGAGGTGGCTGTTAGCCATCCGCATCACATCTTTGAGCGAGACGGTCAAGCGCCGGACGAGCAGAAAGTGACAGTAAAATTGTCATCTTAGTCTCCCTTGGCAAAGTACCCTCCAAACAGTTTGATCGTCGGATTGTTCAAATCCTCTTGAGGCGTGTTGGCATTTTCAGCACTTGGTGTTTTATTGTTGCTCAGTTCATCTATATAATCATCTCCCAGTTGGTTGGCTGTGTTCTTCCGCTGTTCTTCCTTCTATTGTGCCCGAATTGTGGGAGTCTGTGGCTGTTGTGCCTTAGCTTCACGGGCTTTTTCTCTTCTTTCCCTTCTGCCCGCAAATGGATTTGAGCGGTCGTCGTATTTGGATCCGTATACTTGCGCCTATAGCCCTATAGCGATCATAGGAAGGTGAACAATTGCACTGACTCAACCTTGGGGCAGTCAGGATCCTGTGAGTGATTTGTGTGTTCCAGCTGCATTTTCTCTAGAAAACACTGGACAGCGGCAGAGTGTTTGTGTGTGCGCGTGTGTGTCTTTGTGTTCTGACAGCATATTCCCACTTCTCCTAATCAGGGCAAGTATCAGCCTCGTCTTCAACGGCTATGCGGTTTTTCATTCTCGTTCGTACCACGGCACAGTGAGCCTTTTTGCCACAAAAGCGAAGCGTTAGAATGCAATCGTCTGGTCTGAAAGTTTTTTACTGGGACTGCGATGAAGCTGTTTGGAGCTGAAGTGCGTAATTTGGGTGTTTTTTCTGGAGCTCGAGAGCACTGTGACCAAGTCGCATGAACTCTTCTCCCCGTTGCCCATGGAATCCTTCATGTCCAAAGAAGACAAATGAGCCAAATCCAAGAAGCCTTGGAAAAAAATGAGAGTTTCATGAAAAGCACATGAACATCTGGAAAGTCATTGGCACGTCACTCGCATGGTATAGAAGTACTTTCCGTTTGGGTTGGTAGGCGTTTTGCTGTTTGGATGGACCCGACGTTTGGCTCTGAGACCTTTCTGCGTGGGGTACGACAGAGTTGCGGCAGTGGATCCACTGAGGCTGAGATGTAGAAGGGAAGACATGAAATGGGATGTGAACAGGATGAAATGGGCAGATTGGGCAGTCAAAATCTCTTGGTTCTCTTGGATCTCTTCTATTCTCCATGGTCTATCATGGTCTACCCATTTGTTGACATGCCTCTTGAAGTGCTTTCATGATTGAGGTGCTGATCAAGACCCATATTTTCCAACAAACATGTGTTACAAAGGTGTCAAGCAGGATGGTTCTAGCATATCTCTTGACGCTCATGACTGGACATGCCTTGAGGTAGGACAAGGGTAGGACTTCCTCCAAGCAGCGCACCTCTTCGCTGTTGATCTTGCATTTTCCCATAGTGGTATATATTTTACCATATTTTTTCCTTCCAACTTCCAACTTAGCCAATTTGCTCTGAAGATCTCCCTGGTGCAGGTGCCATGCCGGATGCCCTGGCAATGCTGGCTCTTGCCAAAGTGTCTCCTGTGTGGAACTCTACAATGCCTTGTGCAACGCAACTTCTCAAGACAGACATCTTGTGCAAACAATCACACAGGCTCTTCCACTTTTTCTAATTACTTCATTTACTTCATTTACTTCCGCTACACAGATAGCACTCGGAAAAAGGCCATGGCAGTAAGGCGTAGAAGAGTACGATTCCTTGAAGTTCCTTGGAACGAATTTTCATGAATTTTCCTCATGTTGGGCTTGGGGATGTCTGTCATGAATGCTTTGGCTGAGATGGGTCCTGTGGCAGCTGACGCCATCAGCAAAGCCGTCGTGACTTGGTCCTTGACTATGTGCAATGCCCGGGATTCGTCGTGGCAGGTTCTTCGTTTTTCACTTGTGACATCTTGTGACCAATCCAAGGATGAACAATTCCACATCTACTCGGAGCCGCCTGTGCTTGTGATGTCGTTTTAATTCCTTTTGTACTGACGTTGACCTTTGATTGATTTGGACTTCTGCGTGGCGGGTGATCTCCCAATGTTTCGAAAACGCAGGACCAGCAGGATGCCCTCCTAAGGAATGCCAAAGTGGAAGACTCAGGTATTGTACTCTGATCAGTAACTCCAAGGAAATTTTCGGTGGTTCAATTTGTGGTGTTTGTTTGCCTTGGGCAACGCCAACCGTTTGGTTGACTTTGTTTTGAGAACCGGTTGTACTCCCGTTCAACCGGTCTCTATGTAGGGTGATGCTCGATAGGATCTGCAACATTGTGGTCTGGCAACTGCAACTTTGTGCCCTTGACTTTTGATTCTTTGCATCTCTGCATCAGCTTGCAATGTCTAATAAATTGAAGCAATGACCTCGAAACCCAGTTTTATGTGCAGCTGCGCTGAGGATGCCATCATTTCAGCAAGATCAGCTATCCTACAGGCTGAAGCAGCAGATGCTTCCGCGGGTCAGCCTTTGCATGGAGAAGCGCCAGCTTTCGTTCGAACCTCAAAGAGCAAGATGGTCAGTTGACCGCCATCCAAGGCATGTTTTACATGACGCTTCTCGAAATCTGACAAGGCCGCAACATGACACACCTCGGATAGGCTGCGCTCTGCTTAGGCACCAGAAGTGGTGCACTCTTCCGCTCGAGTCCAAAAGGGGTTGGCTTGTGAGGCAAGTTTTCATACCAGCGTTGTACCGTGCCGTTTTCACGGACTCTTGCTCTAGGGCCTCTACGGGTTCGCTGGAAGCTACTGAGCCGGGTACGAATCCAAATCGTTTCCTGAGGTTGGTGAGGACTTCTGGTCAGCGTGGACTGCCTGGATGGATTTTACTAACAGGTGCGCTGCGCACCTTGGTTGTTGTTAGCACTTATGCAGTACACCTCATTTGCTTGGTGCCATGAGTACCGTGTCTTCTAGCAAGAGGTACTTCAACTGCTTCAAAGAAAGGCGTGCAGCATCCAGATAAAACCTGGAAGGCAGCGCTTGGGAGTTGTTGTGCCGGTACCTTTTGCAGAGCCTTCAAGCATGCGAACAAATCACAAAAGCTAGCGTTAGCTGGCTAGAATATGCTAGAATTTCTTCTTGCTTTAACAAGGCAGGGACATGTCATTTATCACACGACTCCTTCCCACCCTCCCAATCCCTTCCCACACAGCTCGATTCAACAAATCCACAATATCAACATGAAAGATGACGGCAGCACCCATTATGACATCCTACACAGCATCCACCTCATTTATCCCATATGTCATATTCTCCACTTCTTTCTCAATGCGATCTCTCTCTCTCTCTCTCTCTCTCGCTCGTTTCCGACGACCTCAACAACCTCAACCTGCAAGGATCGCGTGTATCCCCCCAGGCCTCAAGTGCACAACACAAGCCGACTTGCAAAGCTCAAACCGGAAGCGCACCGAATTCTCATCCCACCTGCTGAGTCAGAAATGGAATGGTTCCCAAGGTGCGGTGCTCAGCCGCTGAAAGGCCAAAAAGAGCTCAGAGCGAAAATCCTGAAATTGTGGATTTGGGGATTATGGAATGGGGAGCGCCTAGTTGCTGAAAGCAACCTACATGACATGTGTGTATATATATATAGTATATAATATGTATACTGTATAGTGTATAATATATATATATACACGTATATATTACCAAAATAAGTATTTATTACTAAGACAAGTAATGATAGTAACACTGTTCTAACAGCAATATAGGAATAACAAAACAGCAAAGACGAACCACATATTAACGACGATTGGTACGGAATTATAACATTAATATGAATATGAAAAAACATAACAATAATGAGATGATGATGATGATGATGATGATTTGCGTATATATATATACATAAATTATATATACATATGTAGAGATATGACAAGGGGTGTATGTCATTAAAGCCGGATACTATGCAGTTTCTTGTGCATTTTTCCAACTTTTGGTGTGGCTCTGCAGCACTGGAATTCCTTGATTGTAGAATTTGAGTTCTGCAAAGGACCTGCAAATGCAGCGAAGCGTAGTAACAACCGCGGCAACCACACAACCCCATAGGAGGTGAGGTGAGGTGAGGTGTTATGTACTTGTGGCTCATGCTCAGAAGGTTGGCTGTTCCTACGCAAGCAGCCACATGCGCATGACAAGGGCAGCTTAGTACAGTCTGAGTAGCGTACTGCGGGAACCTGCATATTTGTGCCTCACAATGGGCCGGACCCTCAGACAGAGGGTCACGTTTTGACACTAAAACTTTGCATGTCCAGCTCTGTGACACGACCAAAGGCCAGTCTGTGCAGAAGGTTCCTGCCAGGCTGGAGAGTGACTTGCAGGGGGTTTGAGCGCGACCCAAGTTCCTGTTGTGGGGGGTTGATGCCAACGCATGGATTGAACATACCTTGGTGAGCACAATCAGGGAGATGTGGCTGAAGTTGGACCAGGACTGCTATGGCAGACATTGGCAATCCAGGTGTTCTTGCTGAGGCCCATAACAGGCTGGCTTGAGGCGAAGAGCGGTGACGTGTCTCGCTGGTATATTGCAGGACCAGAGTGGCGTGCTGGATCGAAAGGAGGCCGATACGCTCCTGCGGGGGGCTCGTTGTGATGGGCTTGTATGTCGTTGTATGGTCACGTTGGTTCCCTGTCAGAAGCCAATTATGAGGCTGATCGTTTTTCAATCAAAAGGCAAACCTCGCAGTATTTTCTGATGAGCTTGTGGTCTTTTAGTCTGCCTTGGGACCGAGGCGTTTAATTTGGAAGACTTACAAGGTGTGGCGTGACCTAATGACTCCGCACCTAGCTTGGGCTTAACGTCCTTTGTGATGGTTGGGTAGGTGCAAAAGCCATTGTCCGCGGAAGTGGTGACTAATATCTTGGCCGAGTTGGATGTAAACAAGGACTGCCCTTAGCATGGGAGTGCTGGCACCTCCTTCATGTTGGTCCATCATGTTCAGACCCTCAGGATGGAAAGATTGTCCAGAAAGAATTCGAGGACGTTGTTCCTCGATGTTCCAAGGTTTTGTTCCTACCTACCCCCATGATGCATGTTACCAGGAGCTGTATGATGGGCTGTGGGAAGAGATGGTGCAAGTTTATGTCAGGACCTTGCACCCACAGCCACAAGAGTCTAGTGAGTCTAGTGCAGTTCCTGTGACACGTTTGTGGGAAAATTGGATGGAACCGGTGCTCACATGTTCTGTTTGATTTCCGGCTTTAAGGCAAGCCCAAAGGCAGGCTCGCAGGCAGAGAAAGTGGGAGCGTTGTGCCAGATCGAATATGCTCAGAACATTTTACAACCGTTGCCAGGGCCACTCTTATAATCACAGAACAGACCTCTTTCTAGAGAGCTTGTGCTCAGGCAGCTGGAACAAGCGTGGCGCTTGGCCGGCAACAGCTATGAACAAGTATATCAGTATATATACTCTCTAGGGAACAAACGTATCCACTTTTTTTGTGGAAAATATTTTTTTTTGGATACGTTAGCTGCTGTGAACATAGGCTATGATAAATGCCCTATACTTGAGACATGTTAGTTGAAAATCCAGAATGGACATGTTAGTGGAAAAGTTGTCCCCCCCTCTGGGGGTTCCCGGGAAACTGCCAGAAGACTACCGCCCCGGACGCCTCAGCATCTTTATTTCCAGACCCCAATAGGGCTCAAATCAAAGACCGCATTGATAACAAAACGGTGGAGAAAAAAGGGGTCCCAACTCCTTCCGGAAGAGCGCATCATAGATGATGCCCGTGGGTGGGCAGGAAGATTGGGGGTGCATTCCAAAAACCAGTTGCATTTACTAAGGGTTGGATGACTGGCCATGGAAAGCGTCCACCTAACGTGTCCGTGTTGTTCAGAGGATGTGGTTTTGAGATATGTGAGTGGTTATTGGCTGAATCTATCCCCCCAAAATAGCGAACATATCCCAGATCAGGGTCGAAATCCAAGGGCCCCAATTGCAGGAACTGAGACATGTTAGCTGTTTTTGGGTCAATGGTCCCAAAAAAAGTTGCAATGCATTCCCCAGGAAATCCAAGAAAACGCCGGTACAGAGTGGACATGTTAGTTGATACCTGAAACGGTAGCCCGAGACACGTATCCACTTTTTTGTGGAAAAAAGTTTTTTTGGATACGTTAGCTGCTGTGAACATAGGCTATGATAAATGCCCTATACTTGAGACATGTTAGTTGAAAATCCAGAATGGACATGTTAGTGGAAAAGTTGTCCCCCCCTCTGGGGGTTCCCGGGAAACTGCCAGAAGACTACCGCCCCGGACGCCCCAGCATCTTTATTTCCAGACCCCAATAGGGCTCAAATCAAAGACCGCATTGATAACAAAACGGTGGAGAAAAAAGGGGTCCCAACTCCTTCCGGAAGAGCGCATCATAGATGATGCTCGTGGGTGGGCAGGAAGATTGGGGGTGCATTCCAAAAACCAGTTGCATTTACTAAGGGTTGGATGACTGGCCATGGAAAGCGTCCACCTAACGTGTCCGTGTTGTTCAGAGGATGTGGTTTTGAGATATGTGAGTGGTTATTGGCTGAATCTATCCCCCCAAAATAGCGAACATATCCCAGATCAGGGTCGAAATCCAAGGGCCCCAATTGCAGGAACTGAGACATGTTAGCTGTTTTTGGGTCAATGGTCCCAAAAAAAGTTGCAATGCATTCCCCAGGAAATCCAAGAAAACGCCGGTACAGAGTGGACATGTTAGTTGATACCTGAAACGGTAGCCCGAGACACGTATCCACTTTTTTGTGGAAAAAAAGTTTTTTTGGATACGTTAGCTGCTGTGAACATAGGCTATGATAAATGCCCTATACTAGAGACATGTTAGTTGAAAATCCAGAATGGACATGTTAGTGGAAAAGTTGTTCCCCCCTCTGGGGGTTCCCGGGAAACTGCCAGAAGACTACCGCCCCGGACGCCCCAGCATCTTTATTTCCAGACCCCAATAGGGCTCAAATCAAAGACTGCATTGATAACAAAACGGTGGAGAAAAAAGGGGTCCCAACTCCTTCCGGAAGAGCGCATCATAGATGATGCCCGTGGGTGGGCAGGAAGATTGGGGGTGCATTCCAAAAACCATTTGCATTTACTAAGGGTTGGATGACTGGCCATGGAAAGCGTCCACCTAACGTGTCCGTGTTGTTCAGAGGATGTGGTTTTGAGATATGTGAGTGGTTATTGGCTGAATCTATCCCCCCAAAATAGCGAACATATCCCAGATCAGGGTCGAAATCCAAGGGCCCCAATTGCAGGAACTGAGACATGTTAGCTGTTTTTGGGTCAATGGTCCCCAAAAAAGTTGCAATGCATTCCCCAGGAAATCCAGGAAAACGCTGGTACAGAGTGGACATGTTAGTTGATACCTGAAACGGTAGCCCGAGACACGTATCCACTTTTTTTGGAAAAAAGTTTTTTTGGATACGTTAGCTGCTGTGAACATAGGCTATGATAAATGCCCTATACTAGAGACATGTTAGTTGAAAATCCAGAATGGACATGTTAGTGGAAAAGTTGTTCCCCCCTCTGGGGGTTCCCGGGAAACTGCCAGAAGACTACCGCCCCGGACGCCCCAGCATCTTTATTTCCAGACCCCAATAGGGCTCAAATCAAAGACTGCATTGATAACAAAACGGTGGAGAAAAAAGGGGTCCCAACTCCTTCCGGAAGAGCGCATCATAGATGATGCTCGTGGGTGGGCAGGAAGATTGGGGGTGCATTCCAAAAACCAGTTGCATTTACTAAGGGTTGGATGACTGGCCATGGAAAGCGTCCACCTAACGTGTCCGTGTTGTTCAGAGGATGTGGTTTTGAGATATGTGAGTGGTTATTGGCTGAATCTATCCCCCCAAAATAGCGAACATATCCCAGATCAGGGTCGAAATCCAAGGGCCCCAATTGCAGGAACTGAGACATGTTAGCTGTTTTTGGGTCAATGGTCCCCAAAAAAGTTGCAATGCATTCCCCAGGAAATCCAAGAAAACGCCGGTACAGAGTGGACATGTTAGTTGATACCTGAAACGGTAGCCCGAGACACGTATCCACTTTTTTGTGGAAAAAAGTTTTTTTGGATACGTTAGCTGCTGTGAACATAGGCTATGATAAATGCCCTATACTAGAGATGTTAGTTGAAAATCCAGAATGGACATATTAGTGGAAAAGTTGTCCCCCCCTCTGGGGGTTCCCGGGAAACTGCCAGAAGACTACCGCCCCGGACGCCCCAGCATCTTTATTTCCAGACCCCAATAGGGCTCAAATCAAAGACTGCATTGATAACAAAACGGTGGAGAAAAAAGGGGTCCCAACTCCTTCCGGAAGAGCGCATCATAGATGATGCTCGTGGGTGGGCAGGAAGATTGGGGGTGCATTCCAAAAACAAGTTGCATTTACTAAGGGTTGGATGACTAGCCATGGAAAGCGTCCACCTAACGTGTCCGTGTTGTTCAGAGGATGTGGTTTTGAGATATGTGAGTGGTTATTGGCTGAATCTATCCCCCCAAAATAGCGAACATATCCCAGATCAGGGTCGAAATCCAAGGGCCCCAATTGCAGGAACTGAGACATGTTAGCTGTTTTTGGGTCAATGGTCCCAAAAAAAGTTGCAATGCATTCCCCAGGAAATCCAAGAAAACGCCGGTACAGAGTGGACATGTTAGTTGATACCTGAAACGGTAGCCCGAGACACGTATCCACTTTTTTGTGGAAAAAAGTTTTTTTGGATACGTTAGCTGCTGTGAACATAGGCTTTGATAAATGCCCTATACTAGAGACATGTTAGTTGAAAATCCAGAATGGACATGTTAGTGGAAAAGTTGTTCCCCCCTCTGGGGGTTCCCGGGAAACTGCCAGAAGACTACCGCCCCGGACGCCTCAGCATCTTTATTTCCAGACCCCAATAGGGCTCAAATCAAAGACCGCATTGATAACAAAACGGTGGAGAAAAAAGGGGTCCCAACTCCTTCCGGAAGAGCGCATCATAGATGATGCCCGTGGGTGGGCAGGAAGATTGGGGGTGCATTCCAAAAACCAGTTGCATTTACTAAGGGTTGGATGACTGGCCATGGAAAGCGTCCACCTAACGTGTCCGTGTTGTTCAGAGGATGTGGTTTTGAAATATGTGAGTGGTTATTGGCTGAATCTATCCCCCCAAAATAGCGAACATATCCCAGATCAGGGTCGAAATCCAAGGGCCCCAATTGCAGGAACTGAGACATGTTAGCTGTTTTTGGGTCAATGGCACCAAAAAGGTGCAATACATTCCCCAGGAAATCCAAGAAAACGCCGGTACAGAGTGGACATGTTAGTTGATACCTGAAACGGTAGCCCGAGACACGTATCCACTTTTTTGTGGAAAAAAGTTTTTTTTGGATACGTTAGCTGCTGTGAACATAGGCTATGATAAATGCCCTATACTAGAGACATGTTAGTTGAAAATCCAGAATGGACATATTAGTGGAAAAATTGTCCCCCCCTCTGGGGGTTCCCGGGAATCTGCCAGAAGACTACCGCCCCGGACGCCCCAGCATCCTTATTTCCAGACCCCAATAGGGCTCAAATCAAAGGCTGCATTGATAACAAAACGGTGGAGAAAAAAGTGGTCCCAACTCCTTGCGGAAGAGCGCATCATAGATGATGCTCGTGGGTGGGCAGGAAGATTGGGGGTGCATTCCAAAAACCAGTTGCATTTACTAAGGGTTGGATGACTAGCCATGGAAAGCGTCCACTTAATTGTCCGTGTTGTTCAGAGGATGTGGTTTTGAGATATGTGAGTGGTTATTGGCTGAATCTGTCCCCCCAAAATAGCGAACATATCCCAGATCAGGGTCGAAATCCAAGGGCCCCAATTGCAGGAACTGAGACATGTTAGCTGTTTTTTGGGTCAATGGTCCCCAAAAAAGTTGCAATGCATTCCCCAGGAAATCCAGGAAAACGCTGGTACAGAGTGGACATGTTAGTTGATACCTGAAACGGTAGCCCGAGACACGTATCCACTTTTTTTGGTGTTTTTTTTGGATACGTTAGCTGCTGTGAACATAGGCTTTGATAAATGCCCCACACTTGAGACATGTTAGTTGAAAGTCCAGAATGGACATGTTAGTGGAAAAGTTGTCACCCCCTCTGGGGGTTCCCGGGAAACTGCCAGAAGACTACCGCCCCGGACGCCCCAGCATCTTTATTTCCAGACCCCAATAGGGCTCGAATCAAAGACTGCATTGATATCAAAACGGTGGAGAAAAAAGGGGTCCCAACTCCTTCCGGAAGAGCGCATCATAGATGATGCTCGGAGGTGGGCAGGAAGATTGGGGGTGCATTCCAAAAACAAGTTGCATTTACTACTCTCGTGAAATCTTACCTGTTGAAAGTTTTTTTATTTTTTATTTTTTTTGCTATGTTAGTGTTTGGGTTTTGGGGCTGAGATTCAACTAACTTGGCGTTGGGAACGCATGGTGTGACATGGGCATTTTGGTGCTAACTTGGCGCGTGTGAAGCATCAAGCAGGTTCAATCGGGAACTGCTTTGTTAGCGTTCGTTTGTGCGCGCGTTCATCAGCCTTTCCACCAATATATGGTTCCAAAAACATTTAATCGTACTTCATAGTAGCAAGTAGCGAGATTGGCAACATCGACCAGGAGCTTTTTCATTAATTATTCAATCTATTATATAAACTTGTTGATTTTGAAGCTTTTTTGGGTCCAGTAAGGGTGATGGAGGTTTTGGGAACCCTGCGCAAATGCTATGTTAGTAGTCCTGTTGCCAAAGCTTTGGTTTTGGATTGAAAATCATGACTGGCACAAGTGTTTTTGGATGTCTTCCTGGGGCTCACCCTTACTGGGCCCAAAAAAGCTTCAAAATCAACAATTTTATATAATAGATTGAATAAGGAAAAAACTCCTGGTCGATGTTGCCAATCTCGCTACTTGCTACTATGAAGTACGATTCAATGTTTTTGGAACCATATATTGGTGGAAAGGCTGATAAACGCTATGTTAGTAGTCCTGTTGCCAAAGCTTTGGTTTTGGATTGAAAATCGTGACTGGCACAAGTGTTTTTGGATGTCTTCCTGGGGCTCACCCTTACTGGGCCCAAAAAAGCTTCAAAATCAACAATTTTATATAATCGATTGAATAAGGAAAAAAACTCCTGGTCGATGTTGCCAATCTCGCTACTTGCTACTATGAAGTACGATTAAATGTTTTTGGAACCATATATTGGTGGAAAGGCTGATAAACGCTATGTTAGTAGTCCTGTTGCCAAAGCTTTGGTTTTGGATTGAAAATCGTGACTGGCACAACTGTTTTTGGATGTCTTCCTGGGGCTCAGCCTTACTGGACCCAAAAAAGCTTCAAAATCAACAATTTTATATAATCGATTGAATAAGGAAAAAAACTCCTGGTCAAAGTTGCCAATCTGGCTACTTGCTGCCATGATGATTACGATGTACTATTGGAAGTTTGGGAACTTTGACCAGGAGTTTTTTTCCTTATTCAATCGATTATATAAAATTGTTGATTTTGAAGCTTTTTTGGGTCCAGTAAGGCTGATCCCCAGGAAGACATCCAAAAACAGTTGTGGTTTGATCTGGTCGGCTGGAGACTCAAAAGAGACACCTAACCTAGCAACCAGGGGTACTTTCATTCTAGATTGATTGATTGATGTGTTCGGCTTCCTGTTTTCTAAAACATGTTTTCCGTGGAGTTTGATGCTAACATAGCACTTTCCATTTGGTGGTTCCAAGCTGTGACAAGTCTCCAGACAGCTATGTTAGCTTATTCTGGTACATTTCTTTTACCCACTTCCTGGGGAATGCCAAACATTGGGAGGACGGAAACAGAGGCTATGTTAGCAGGTGCTGGCAGAAATCACCCAAATGATCACTTTCTCCAAATCCCCAGGGTTGACAACGTAGCCAGATGCTATGTTTGTGAGTTGGTGCCAGGGCTAAAAAACGCTATGTTAGATTTCACCGGTGTAAGGGTTAGATGACTGGCCATGGAAAGCGTCCACTTAACGTGTCCGTGTTGTTCAGAGGATGTGGTTTTGAGATATGTGAGTGGTTATTGGCTGATCTATCCCCCAAAAATAGCTAACATATCCCAGATCAGGGTCGAAATCCAAGGGCCCCAAATGCAACTGGTTTTTGGAACCCCACATTGAAAAGGCCAATATTCAGTAGCTTGAGATATTGGAATCTCTTCGGGGAATGACTGCACTTACAAGACCCAATTTTTGTCAAAACACTGTTGTTTTCCCTGAACCCCAAAGTCATGGCCAGCATCCGAGATGAAGTGGCACAGGTGCTGCTCATTTGTTGTTCATTGTTTCCGAATTCCAACTTGCTAACATGTCCCTGTTTGGTACGAAAGAGCACGCACTGCACTTCCAATCCTTATTTCCAGACCGCATTGATAGCAAAACGAGCAGAAAAAAGAGTCCCAACTCCTCGGAAGAGCGCGTCATATATGAAGATTGGGGGTGTGTTCCAGAAACCAGTTGCATTTACTAAGGGTTACTGGCCATGGAAAACGTCCACCTAACGTGTCCGTGTTGTTCAGAGGATGTGATTTTGAGATATGTGAGTGGTTATTGGCTGAATCTATCCCCCAAAAATAGCTAACATATCCCAGATCAGGGTCGAAATCCAAGGGCCCCAATTGCAGGAACTGAGACATGTCAGCTGTTTTTGGGTCAATGTGTAAAAAGAAAGTTGCAATGCATTCCCCAGGAAAACGCCGGTATAGAGTGGACATGTTAGTTGATACCTGAAACGGTAGCCTGAGACACGTTTGTTCCCGGGAGTGTAACTATTTGGCGGAGCAGTGGCGTGCGAGCCATTGAAAAGCATCATGTAAAATGCAGAAAGGGATTGGACAAAACATGGATGAAATCTGGTTTCAATAGTCACCAGCTAATCTTTAAAACGGGAAACTTCCTTTCTACCCGGAAGCAGTCGTGGCAAACTGCCTCTATTTTTAGCTGGTCAGAATTCCAACATCTGATAGATGTTCAGTGCGCGCGCACACGCACACACATTGGCAAACATGTATATATAGGTATGCGGTATGCATAAATGTGTACAAGTATGTAGTCAATTCGTGTATGTGTGTGCGCAACATTGGGGCATGCAGGTGTCAAATTGCGAAAAACAGACTATCATGATTGAAAATGATTGAAACACGTGTGTGATATCGGCAACGAAGTCCGTTGGTACCAAGGCCCCACGTCCAAAGAGGCTGGCAGCGAAGAGAAGCAGGATGGACTGTGAAAAGTATGCAACAAGTCAAAACATGTCATAAAACATGCTGCCCAAACACCTCAAAACACTTATCAAATCTTATCCACTCGTTTGCACTTTGTCCGCACTTCGTCCGTACTTCGTCCTCGCTCCGTCCAGACTTCGTCAAATTTGCCATGAGCCATTCCCTGTATCTCCTGGAGTTGTGCTAAAAATGCCAGGGCTCGTCGACGCCACCGAAGTCAAAGTCGCCAAAGGAAAATGCTAAGGCGTACGGCAAGACTTGATAGACAGAAGATGAAGATAGATGAAGGGGCTGGTGAGCAAGTGAAAGTTGCGTTGAAGTTGTCAACCAAGGAACTATTTTGCACCTGAAGTTTTCTGCAGGCGAATGCTGAGCCCAATCACATCCGGTGTCCTCACTGTGCTTTCGAGATCGACCCAAGGCATTTGCAACGGTCCGGGGGTCCAGACTTTAGGCGAGCTGAGCAGGGTCTAAATTTCGATTTCTGAGCAGGGTCTTAATTCTTTTGGAATGGAACCCTGGCCCCCAAAGGTCACCTGCCAAGCAAAATAAGATAAATAAGGCCTTATTGAAGGGTTGTGAAGACCGTGAAGACCGTGAAGACCTATCAACCATTGGGCTTATTGGCTTATTCCCTCGTTGGGGGGTGCACATGACAAGACTCAAGCCGAAGCGCTGCATCGAGGTTGAAAGTTCCACCAGAGGCACTACTGATACTACTGGCTGAGGGGACAGCTGGCCAGATGTTGTTTCATGTTCGTTTTCTCCCTGTTGCCTGTGACAACTTTGATGATTGATCCTCAGTGTTTGCTAGGCGCTCTCGGTGGCACCAGGACCATGGCAAGGTTCCAGTGCATCTGCAGGCCCGCATCAAGAACCCCACAATACGCAGAGGGGTTAGATCAGGAAGCGGAGGGAACCACTTCCATCCTTCTCAGAATGCTTGTCACAGAAGCGCGCCATAAACTTTTGTGATTTGGATGAGGCTACCAGGCTATGCCAGCGATTTCGGCTGTTGCCTTAGTGGCTTTTGCATGGCGGATCTTTGCAGTTTGGTCTGAAGTCTGAGGCTGCACCTGTGCCGCCTGGCACCTCTTTCCATGGACAGGTGGCATGAACCCATGGTGCTTGAGTCGATTGAGAGGTTGACAGACGGTTCGCCCACTGAATGCAAAATTAATCAAAATCAACAACGAAACAATTGGAATCGAAGTCAGTGCGGCTTTCCAGATGATTCTAGACTGCTCTATGGCAGGTGCCCGCCTCTTTCTTCCAGACCTCACACGGCGTGTGCCTCAAAGAGCTTGGGGTCAAAAGTGCAACAGTTGAAAGGAGGCATACTATTTGATGGATTTCTCCCAAACATGTTTACCTCTATATGGAGTTTTTATTCTTTTACAAAGGGTTGCATGCCTGTGCCGCATGATTTTGCTATGGGGTTCGTACTCCTTTGAACGGGTTGAAGGTTTGGGTCGCGTGATTTTGCCTGTCTCCCACTTGTCTCCCACTGTCTCCCAGTACGCTTTGGGTACCCTGGGCCGCATTATCTCTGCAGTGGCCTCCCCCAGTAGATGCTGTGCACCGCATGATGCTTACATGTGTCTCCTACTTTCTTGTTTCGCACTGTTTCCCAATACCTACTTGTCTTCAACCTGTTTGCCACCTGTGGCTGCTTTGGACGGGCGAATTTGGCTTGTGTCCAGATTGTTTCCCATTTCTGTTTGTGTTGCGGCTGGCTTGGGACGGAAAACATCTTTTGCTTCCGCTTTCCTTCCACTTGTCTCCCACTGCTGTTCCTGTCCTGGGGTTGCCTTGGGACGGACGAATTCTCTTTGTCTCCTTGTTGTCTTCTGCTTGTGTTTCTGTGCTGTTCCTGGAATGGAAGAATTTCACTTGGTTACCACTTGTCTCCCATTTTCCCTACTTCTTTCCCACTTCTGTCTCCGGCTTGTTTTCGGATTGCCTTTGTTCTTGATTTGTTTTTTCCACCTACGGTCCCATGGCGGGCAACAGTTCAACGCTGGTATATTTTTTTCGGGGGGAACTTTTTCTTCAAACTTGCTGATGACACTGATCCACCAAGGCTGGTGGGCTCAATCCAATGGACCTTCATGAGTGTCACCGAGGAAAAAGTCGTTGGCTGTCTGTGAAATGATCGTTGCAGCTGGTGGAATTTTGCAGGTGCACTGGGCACATCACACCACAAACACACAATCCTCGGATGCAAGTGGCTCAAGCCGGATTTGACCCAGAAGCCATTTCCAAGACCTGTCCTATCCTTTTTCCTTGGAGGATCCACACCGCCGGGTACCCAGCCACGTAAACCAGAGATTTTTATGTTTGTGGAGCTTTTTCATTTCGCTTGACAAGAGGTGAGAAAAGCAGTGGGTGGTTATGCAGGACGAGGACTGCTGCGCATATATAGTCTTGATATGTCTTGACAATTGCAGATTAAAACACACCCGGGTACGTATGGCTTCACTCTGTGGTAGCACCATAGTTTGTCATTTGTGGAGGGAATGCCAGGAAGCTGATGGTACCGTAGCAAAGACTCATAGACCTTCAATTCTGTGATGAATCAAGCTCCACTCATGCGCTGACTTTCGAGGACTTTGGAGTTCAAGTGTCTCCAAGTTCAGTACTTCAGAATTTACTGCAACAATACCCAAGCGGAGGCCAGTTCATATCAGAAGCTCTCCAGAATGCTGAAGACACTGATCGTGCCACACGGTTCTGTGCAGTTTTGGATTTGCAGCACCACCCAACGGAGCACATTCGAAAGGATTACTCTTGGCGGGCTCGGTTGCAGGGTCCGGCGATTTTGTTCTATGACAATGGAGGTTTTGAAGAGAGAGACTGGAAAAGCCTTCAGAGCTTCTACAAAAGCGAGAAAAAGCACTCACCGAGCGAAGTTGGTAAATATGGCATGGGTTCACGCTCCTTCTTCCATATCGGCGACGTTATCCAGATTGTCTCTGGCACGAAGTTTGCAGAGCTTGATCCAGATGAGAGAGTATCGAGCAATGGAAGGTATGGGGCCAGAATTGATTTTGAATCAGAGCTCTTCGGTGGGAAGAAATTCTCTGAAGCTTATCCTGATGAATGTGCACCATTTAATTTCTTCGGATGCACCATGGACACTCCATTCGATGGAACCATCATTCGTGCTACTTGACTAGCAGCGCTAGAGACCGCTTTATTTGTCAAGCGTGAATCAAGCGCTGCCTGTGCTTTACTTTTATTTTTCCGGGGCTTTAGACTAGTTAGTAGACTCCGACTCCTTGGCAAGGTTCCTTTGAGACAGAAGTCCTGGGCGAGTGAATCGAGTTTTATGCCTGAAGAATTTGGACCCAAGAGGGCGCAACAAGTTTTCGAGGAGTCTTGAAAGACACTGGCTGCCCCCCAGAGTATGCCAGGGAAGAAAATTGAACGCTTTGGATGTGATAAGTTTATAGACAGTTCGAGTCCATTTCACTTTACTTTGCAGGTTGTAACTTGGATTGCCGCCAGGAGTTCGTGAAGGTCATGCGCCGTGGTGATGTGGCCATGTTCTTGCCTCGCCTGCGCTGTTTGGAGATTTTTGTCTGCGAGGAACATCATGAAATGCAAAGGCTGGCTTCAATAGAAGTGGAACAGCCAGAGCCTCAAGAGCCGCAGCGGCGAGAGGAGCTTGGTCATTCGCTCTTGGATGTGAAGCAGTTCTTGAAACAGTTTGACACCACGAAGCACCTTCAGGTACCTTGCGCCCCAATCAGATTTGACTATACTGGTTGACCAGTTTCGATTCTTAATGCCGATTGCAATGCCATGGTGTGATTGGTGGATCTTTGTGGCAGGATGAGCTCAAGAAGTCCCTTTCCACTGCGCCGACGGTCCATGAGCACATCATTTTCAAGAGTCGCTCTGGTCCCGAAGAGGCTCAAGAGGCTCAAGAGGCTCATTGGCTTCGATTTGGACGCTTCTTCGATTGTCACGCCCTTGATTTGCCCGGAGAGGTGCCGTTTGTATGTGTTGCGATGCCCTTGGGCGGAGCTGCCACAGGGCTGGCCTTTGCCCACTTGCCATTGCCTATCAAGACAGGACATTGTCACTGGCATCCTTGCATTGTGCCCATAGTGGCATAGCAATCAACATCGGATCATCGTCACAGTGCTAGTCACAGCAGTGATAGTGATCATCTATCACCATGATAGAATTTCGTTCGGTTCCTTTGTGTGATCATGGTCTCATCCCTGCTCTGCAAGGTCCATAGTCAGTCTTATTCGGTTTTATATATGTTGCTTTTTGCCGTTTTGCTGGCGCAGGACTGCCAGTGCATGTTCATGCAGGCTTCGCGCTACAAGATAATCGTCGTGGCATTTGGCGCCAGGCTGAAGATACTGATGGGATTCATAAAACTTGGGCAAGTTGGAATGAGTACATTATCAAGGAAGCGATCTGTCAGATTTATGCTGATGCCTTGAAGCTCCAACTGGCTACTTGGTTCAGGATAAGGATAGACTCATAGACATTCATATTGATCTCTACAAACTTCATGTGCTTACACAAATTGTTCAGGTCTGTGTTTGCAAATCTCACGTGCTTTGAGGCTGTAAGTTGTCCTGATGCTGAGGAGAATGCCAAATCCAAGAGTGCTTCGGACATGTTCTCTCACCTCTGGCCTCGACTGGAACTGAAGAAAGAAGCCTTCCAGGCTCTCTTCATGGGTGCGGCAGTGCTTTCTGTTGACCCATCAGACATTTAACAGATGTATAGTATGTACAATTATATTTTGATAAAATCAATCAATACACACATATATATGCGCAACCATCAAAACTCGCGGATACTAAGATATGTATTGGCTGGACATTGGTTTTCAGAAAGTGCAAAAAACTGAGGTTAGCGATGGGACCTTTCCAAATAGCGATACCCCATGTTGAATTCAATAGTTGATAATTATATTTCATGAGTGTTGATTTCGTCAAGTGCTGGCATCGGTGATAGACTTGGGCTCAGGGTTGAAAGAAAAGGAAAGGAAAAGGACAGGGAAAGGAAAAGAAAAGAAAGAGAAAGGAAAAGGACAGGAACAGAAAAAGAAACAGGAAATGAAAAGGAAGAGCAGCGAACAGAAAGGAAAAGGAAAGAGAAAGGCAAAGGCAAGAGAAAGAAGAGGAAAAGGAACGAGAAAAGAAAGGAAAAGGAAAGGGAAAGAAAACGAAAAACAAGAAACGAAAGGAAAAGGACAGAAAAAGGGGAAGGAAAAGGAAAGGAAAAAAACAGAAAAGGGCAAGGAAAAGGAAGGGAAAAGGAAAGGACTAGTTTTACAAGCAAATGATAATGCACCCGCCTTGGTACAATTAATACTAGTAGTACATACAATGTAAGTATGAATAGTATATACTACAAGTACAATATCATATCCACTTCAGCTATGTTTAGCCTTAGCGATACCCCTTGTAAATCAACATTGCGCAATGATGGTAAGATTGCTACGAAACTGTGGTTAGCGGTGGGGCCGCACACACATATATATATAAATTTGTATATATAATAATATTAAATTGTTATTGTGTTATATAATGTTATATTTTAATAATATATTATATTATATTTTATTAAATTAAATTATATAATATTATGTTAAATAGATTGGTATGCAATGTAATTATACGGCCAGGCGCTGTGTGTTGCCCGGAAGGTTCAAATGGTGTTTAAACATGCTCCCTCCAACCCGGACGTTGCTCCACACCTCAAGAGAATCATCATCATCATCATCATCATCATCACCATCACCATCACCATCATCATCATCATCATCATCGTCATCCGCATATCATCCGCATATCATCATCATCATCATCATCATCCGCATATCATCATCATCATCATCATCACCATCATCATCTTTTCTGGTGCTTGATAGGGAATGGGGGAATGATCCAAAGGATCCAATCCATATCCTCAACTTATCTTCATAAAGGGATCCGAATTTGCCACCCCCTCTGACTTATATGTTGATGATAATAAGAACATGAACTTATCTTGTTGAGGGATCAAAATCCGCCACCCCCTGTGACTAATACGTTGACAGGGATCATAACATTAACTTATCTTCATACAGGGATCCAAATTTGCAACCCCCTCTGACTTATGTGTTGATGATAATAAGAACATGAACTTATCTTGTTGAGGGATCAAAATCCGCCACCCCCTCTGACTAATACGTTGACAGGGATCATAACATTAACTTATCTTCATACAGGGATCCAAATTTGCAACCCCCTCTGACTTATATGTTGATGATAATAAGAACATGAACTTATCTTGTTGAGGGATCAAAATCCGCCACCCCCTCTGACTAATACGTTGACAGGGATCATAACATTAACTTATCTTCATACAGGGATCCAAATTTGCAACCCCCTCTGACTTATGTGTTGATGATAATAAGAACATGAACTTATCTTGTTGAGGGATCAAAATCCGCCACCCCCTCTGACTACTACGTTGACAGGGATCATTACATCAACTTTTCTTCCTAAGGGATCAAAAATTGGCACCCCCTCTGACTTATATTTGATGTAATATATGATATATTATGTGCTATGTACTATTATATACTTCAGTATTTTTGATTCCGACGCGGAGCAACGTAGGGGTTGCAGCGAACATGTTTAAACATTATCCTTCAACATGCTCAAACACCTGCGCAGGGCCATTGTTTTGAGATTTCCCAGACGACGAACCCTAAACCCTAAAACCCCAAACCCTAAAACCCCAAACCCTAAAACCCTAAACCCTAAAACCTAGGCTCTGAAAACTTTGAATCCTAAACTGGAAAACATTGCGTATACGCAGTATTTTCTGCAATGTCTCCTATCATATATTCGACAGCACGACATTCTCAATGTTAATGTCTGGGCAACACACGGCGTCTGTGGGTAATTATATATTGTATCCATCTACAATATGTACATATCACATACTTCCCCCTTTTGACCCGGTGAGCCTTTCAGCTACTGCGCACACTGATAGGAGGTGCTGGCAGGCTTGGTCCACATTCTACGTTCTGAAGCAGTGCTGCGGACAGCCTTTGGAGACAGGGTTAAGCCCAACGATGCCCAGCTCCTAGACTTGCCAACTGATGCCTTGAAGACATGGCATGACGAGTTGGAGAAATTGTGTTTGGAAGCTGGCATGAAGCTTGGTATGGACATATATGCTGTGAACTGACGTGATCTGTTCAATCGAATCTAAGTCCTTGCATCAACTTAGCAGTTTGTCTTTCCACAAAGGCCATAAAGCCCTTGTAATCCTGTTGGTAGCTTGTGCTGTTCAATCTGATCTTAGGAAAATTGTGAATCCTCCTGAACACATTGCTCAGCTACTTCGGCACTATGAAGCGATCAACATCAAGGCAGTTCTTTCCGGCTGACATGTTTAAAAGTTTTTATGAAACCAAGCTCCTGTGAAAGCACGGCTTGTTTGTTTGCACCATTGACCATTGCCATCACACCTCTACCATAAACAGAAGGCTTCCACGACGTTGCTGTGAACGCCCTGTGTGGGTCATGGACCTGCAGAAAAGCTCAGACAGCTTAGGATTTGACATGATTTGACTGGGATGCGTTGGGGCTGTTGGGCCTTTTTGGTTTCTCCACAGAACTTGCGCGCGCCTCTGCGTTGGCTCGGTAGTTTTTAGCCTTGCCGCCTGCTACCTTGGCCTTGCGAGCGCAGCATGGCCTTTGCGAAGATACCGGAATGCATCACGACCAAAGATGACACTCGCCATTTTCCAACTCCTTGTCCCCGAAAGCAGCACTGCGAACCCTTTCCAACTTTTCAACCATGAGGAAGTGCGAAACACTTCCCTGTAACAGTAACACAACCTTTCGATTGCTCGCAGACCAAGTGTTTCATTCTCTAATGAGCTCTACCGCATTCACAGATTCATCCCGATTTCAAGTGTTCAAGGAATACGACACCAGCATTGGAAAGCTACGCTTCTTCGATGGTCTTCCAGATGAAGCTACGATCCAGAAAGTCTACGACAATCTTGACCGATCCAGGGCGATGCATGCATTTCTGGACCCTTTGATTTGCATTTGCCACAGTCCAGGGCTGCCCGGTGCTTTCAAACTGCCTTTGATTCTGATGTGGTGGAGTGTGCTATTCCGTCTTCTTCCTATGATTTGACCGTATTTGACCTTAATCTTTTCTACAGTTTTTTGGAAGGATGTCCTGATGGTATTCGTCCTGATGGTCATCTTGACCCTTGCATTCCAAGGACATGATTCCTCTGGCTTCCATTGAAGCCATGAGAGCAGGCTTCGTAGAAATCGGATGTGATGCTTGTCACAAGGTGCTTTGCGACCCAAGGGTTTGAACTTGCGGAATTTGCGGACTTGGCGTCAAGAATCATGAGAGGAACGTAGACGAACCATGTGGCTGGATATGTATAATATATATATATATATATATTGTGAATGGTAGGGTGCCAAGCCACCAACAGGATGTAGTCAATCCCTCCAAGGATGAGGTTCCCAAACGGAAATGATGTTGGTTCCACCAAGTCCAACCAAATTGGAAATGTAGATGGCCACGCCTATGGCTGAAATCACCGATGAATCCCTAGACTGCAACCCTGGCAGCAAAAGGCGTCCACGCCCTTTTTGGAGCGTACCACCAGCACACAACCCCCTGTCTCGGGCCTACGCATCGGACGGCACCACAGGTGATTGATTCGGCAGGAGTAGCTGAGACCCAAGTCATGGCATGATTGGACATGTCGACTGACCCATGTGACTGGTTGGGATCTGGATATTGGAAAATCACACTCCCAAAACTTTATATGTTTAATTTAAGTTTTTATTTTTTTACTCTTTTACCCCAATCATAAAATTATCCCCAGGAGCCTCGGAACAGGCAGGTGGTGCGATGGCATTTGACAGCCAGGTTTTCTGAGCCTTCTTGTCGGCCCTTTCTTTGAGTATTTCATCGATATCATGCAAACAACAAGCACAGTGTTTCAAGAAGTCTCGCAGTCGACTACAATCCATGGACTTTGTAAGGGCGTCGGCCAGCTGTGCAGCGCTGTGAACCCAGTGAGGTTTGATTCCAGACTGCAAGTGGTCCTTGATGACCAAAGCTTCGATCAGGGTTCGATGGTCATGGATCTGAGGAGTGGTGTTCTTGGAGATCACGTCAAAAAGAGACTTGCAATCAACTACAGCTATGCTTGGAGGTGCACTTTTCCATACAGTTTCGGGATTCTTCCATGGTGTTTGAGGGTTCTTAATCCATTCCCATGCCAAGCGCATCCAATCCAGCAAATCCACGGCTGTGGATAGAGCAAAGGTTTCAGCAGCTAGGGTGCTGGCAACTACTCTGTCTATTTTCTTTGAGAACCAAACTAATGGGCTGGCACGTGCACTTTGTTGTTGAAAAACATTTTCGTGAGTCGCTAAGATGATTCCACCCTTTTGGCTCTGCTTCTTTTCTCGTGTGGCGAAAGATGCATCAGAGTATGAAACCAATCTCACTTGGTTGACTGGAATGCTAGAAATGGTTACTGTTACTTCGGCATGTTTCTTGGTTTCTCCCAATAGGCGATTGGCTTCAAGTAGATCATGTACTGTGGCGCAATTGATTTTTGATTGAAGGAAACTTAGTTTTGCGGAAACATCTGGTCGAGTGTTAATTGCAGCATATTGAAGTGAGCCTATGAGACCTCTGAGACCTTGGCGTTCACTCTCGTTGATAGATTCTTGTTCATTTTTACGGCGATGTCGGTCTATGGCTATAGGGTCAATTCCCAGGATGTATTCTTTCTGATCAAGATGGATATTCCACTGATGGTCTTGTCTGATGTGAATTCCTGTAAATGTGAAATCTGTCTCACGTTTGGCTCCAAATGGAAATTTCTTTTCAAGTATTACCTTGTCGAATACTTCATCACCACAACAGAGGCCATCATCCACGTGGATCCCAAGTAAACCGTGTACTTTTCCATCAGTATCCATAAGGGAGAACAGGCATGGATCAAGTGGGCTTATTGTAAAGTTCAACCTGAGTAATTCCTCCTTAAGTTCCTGATACCACAAGTAAGGAGCATTCACCAGTCCATACGCAGATTTCATGAGTTCGCAAATCTCATTTTCTTTCATGTTTAACCGGGAACGCATTTCAGGTGGAGGATCTACCCCAAGAACACGGTTATCTCTTTTGGAACCCCTCAGGAAAGCCGTCTTTATGTCAAAGCTTCGAATTTTCCATTTTTGGGAGGCACACATCTGCAGCAGTAAGGATCGGGACTCTTTCTGCAAAGTTGGGGAATCTCTTGGGATGTCTGTGATGTCAGGATCTTCATATCCTAGGATCACGAGCCTGGCCTTTGCCTTCCTAGATTTTCCTTCTTTGGCAGCATCAAGAGGGTCCAAATCCTTCCATGTCAAAACCCATCGGCATCGCAAGATATTGGCATCAGGAATTCGATGGCGAAGGGTTTTCCTGACAGTTTCGGTGGCTAACCATTGATCAACTTCTTTCCCTTTGGCTTTCTCGAATTCAATTCTTTGTTCAGGAGTTAAGTCTCTGACCTTGACTTCAACCCTTTGCCTCTTTGCAGCGGTGGCAACTAAAGCTGACCAGTTTTCAGGAGTATGGGATATTTGTTCCATGTCGTCCTGTGTTAAGAAAACTTCACATTCAAACACTTGTTCGGGGGAAGTGTTGAGGATATCTTCAACTTCCGGAATTTCGTCTCCCCCATCTGGGATAACATGAAAAACTGTGACTCCCGTCCATGGTTGCTCAGTTGACCAGCGGGCGCTTTCAGCTCCCCATTGGTCGGAACAGCTCCAGGGAACTTGGCCGATCGCTGCCCCAGTGGTAATGCGGTCTTCGCCGATTTTCAAGAAATCACAAGGGCAATCACAGGTCATAGTGGGTTCAAAAGCACATGTTCGTGGTTTGCAATGCACTCGGATGAGTTGGTTTCCCTGGTGTACCCAATAATCTTCCATCATGAGTTCATCGTCGCCAGCTTCGGGTACTGGGACATCTTTTGGATCAGTGGGCACAGTTTCAAGTTCTGGAGGTGGTGTGGCATTTGTTGGTGATTCACTTCTTGGTGGCGTTGCAGAGTATCCACTTGAAATATTGGACTGGGGAATATTGCCGGGTTCAGAATCTGGTTGGGCTGGTTCAGGAGGAGTTACAGGTGGATTCAGTGGTGGTGGCATGGTATTATCAGCTTCTTGAATGGGTGGATTGCTTGGTGTATTTGGCATCACTTCAGTTAGATCTTCATATTGGAAAACCCCTTTACCCATCGTTTTATATGGCATTTGGATAGGTTCTTGGGACATGTGGTCCAAGCTCTGAGCTGCTTCCCTTTCAGACAAACATCGCAAGTGTTCCGGTGCAACGCGATATACTCGGCTGGCATGAGTTACCCACACAACACTCTGGGATTCTTGGATTATCACTCGGGCCGGCCCATGCCATTGGCCCGGAGATTCCCCCCTGCCTGGACGCCAGTACATCACAAACATGCCACCCGTGAAATGTCCTCGATGAGGACGTTGTCTTCTAAGGAAGGCTCTCCGGAGCTTTTCACTGTTTTCTGCGGAGATGAATGCACGGCGAGCACTTTCACGGAGTTGTAACTGTTGACGGAATTGGATACCCTCTGGGGTGTTACTCTCCGCAAGGTATTGAGCTGCTGTGGGAAATTCATCACTGATACTACCAGGAAGTGGGCTACTTTTGCCTAACACTAGAATTTCCGGAGTATACCCTTTGGCTTTAGAGAGAGCATTTTTGGCACAACATGTGTGTCGCAAAGCCATTTTAAACTGATCTTCATTTTGGATGGGATGTTCAGCATCGTATTTTTGGAGCATGTCTTGGATGATGTCTCCGTGACGCTCGGTCTTACCCATCTGCCAGTGGGCATAGGCTGCTACGACTCGCAGGTGGATATCTCGGGCTTGGGCTGCATTCTGAAATTGTTCTGAGCACAAAGGAGAAGCATTATCGATGATCAACTGTTTACAATTTCCTGCCCAGTGAAACCAGCAATCGGAAATGGCCTCCAAGAGAGACTCGGCATCCGTTCGAATCACTGGTGTGGCTTGCTGGAAACTTGTGGCAGAATCGACACAGTGAATAAACTGAAAGGTTTTCCCCTCTTTTGCAGTCCAAGAAATGAGATCACAACCGACACTGTCGTTAAAATCCTTTGGCTCGGAGATTGACGCTGGACGGGCAATTCTGGGCTCCTGCAGTTCATGGCACGTACCACACCTGAAGTCTGTAAGTCCATGGATGAAGCGTTCATCATAGCCCTGTTGTTTCAGGACCGCTTGAAGTTTGGCACAGTTGGGATGCCCCAGGTTATGATGGATTTTGGATAACCATTGTCGATCCTCTATTGGAAGATTGAGAAACTTGGGACCATGTTTAAGTGTGGATACTTGGAGTTTTTGGGTGGTCTCTTGATGTTGGGAAGTGTTTGGGATGGAAACTTGATCTGAACTCGATTTCGGTTCTGTGGGATCTTCAGGTTCTTTTCCAAGGTCCAAACCTAGTTGACGGCTGATGGCGTCAAGTTCATCCTCACATGATTCATCCACTTTGGCCTTCTTGGGACTCAGGGAAGGTTCCATGGGCATCTCACGTTTTACTCCTTGATCATCTTTGAAAAACATGGAAATCATGATTCGTGATGGGGGTGCTGAGGCACAAATTTGCCTATTGCTGAGGGCTTCCCACTTTACCCATGGGCTGACAATTGGCTCAAGGCTGTGGCGGTGCAAGCTGAGAGTCTTTCTCCAGGGCGCCTCATGTTTAATCAACTTGACGGGTGCTTTACGATATCGGTCAGCCCCCTTGCAGAGTTCAACAACTCTCAACTGTTTCTCGGAAAATGCCCTCTGAATATAGTCAAAAAGTTCCCCTTCCTGCAGCACAACTGTACCTACCCGTGGGGCATGTTGCATGGCTTGCTGAAGCAATTCTTGATGATTCTGTGGATCTAGAGCTTTTCCATCTTCGGGGTTACCATTCTCAGTTCGTGAGGGCTGAATTAGGTGAGGCAATGGCATGATCTTCGGATGGGCCTCAGGCACATGCACTGGATATCCCGGCGGATTGGTCGATTTGCAAGCCAATCGACGGCGTTTGGCTTCCGGTTCGACTGGAGTTCCTTCCACTTCCTCTGCAAAAACAGTTGGAGAGTGCACACAGGATGTCTCAGAAACTTTCTTACTTGCGGCAAATGTTCTGGCTAAACGTTGACCAAACATTTGAGTATACATCTCAGAATACGTGGAAACATTCAAACTCTTTCCAGTGGCATCTCTGAAGGATCCTGCAACTTGGGAATGTTCATGATCATGGGGGCATCGCAAAGAGCTTAAATACTGAAACATTATCTGAGATGTAGTCAAGACCTGAGTTCCCTTTTGAAGGGCCATCTTGCTTACCGGATGCTTCAAGTTACCTGCGGTGCACAGATCACATCGAGCTAGGTGTGTGTTTGCTACAATGATCTGGAGGAAATCTTGATAAAGCATGTCAGAGCCTACCGGTTGTTCAAGGTGGAAGTGGAACTCTGGTCCCCGCTGACTCTGTAGAGTGAAGACGGCTTCACACAGCATCAGGTGAGGTTCATCCTCCATTCGGGCGTGCATAACCCTTTGGGCCAGGCTTTCAGATCGGCTGGCATTGAATTGGTTCCATCGACACCAGGCCTTGCATTTCGGTGACATCCAGATGTTCCGTGGCCGAAACTTGAACAGCACATGATACAATTGGGCCCTACCTTCAAAATGACTCAGGTCACCTTCACGAAGGCCAAAACGCATGGCTCTGAGACCCTGACGGATGCACTGCTTTGTCAACTGGCTGTCGGAAGAACAATAAATTTCCAGAGAATCAATTCCTGGGGTTTGTGAGCCAATCAAATCACCTTTTTGAGAAATCCATCCATGAGAAACCCCATATTGCACAAGTTCTTGAAGAATCTTATTGGATTGGTGTGGCTTCCGAACATGGGCAGTATGGCAGGAAAATCTTTCTGACCCTGGGTTTTGCAGATATTGATTATATTCACGGATGCATTGTTCAATCAGAAAAGTCTCAGAGTTCGTGGCTACTTGCTGGCCTGGCTCACGGAGAGATGTTGGGACAACATCTGCAGTTGGCCGATCACTTCGCTCAGAACTCCTTCTAGATGATCCAGCCTCTTGGCAGTCTCGTCTTCCTTGTCGGTCTTGTGGTCTTGGGACAGACGATCCCAGCACTCCTCTTCTTCCAAATCCAGATCGATCGGCATCAACGGTTTGAAAGGCTTCCCAACGCTCTTGGCCTTGGCCTTGGGGCACACATGAGAACTGGTCGGTTCGGGACCCACCATTTCTCCAGGGGTGGTCTCGATGCCCAAGGACAGCTCTTTCCTTTCGATCCACATGTTCAGGAAGTGGCAGAACATGCGATGCTCTGCCTTCGGGCTGTTGATCCACTTTTTCAGAAACCATCGGCAGTAGGCTGGGTCCTTCTGGACAACTTCTCCATACTTTTGCCCCTTCTTGGCTTCTCCGAACAGGATCGGCTGTCGGGCCAATTCCTCGTAGGACATCTGCTGGGGCGCCTGATCCTGGTCTTCCAGGGTCTTCAGGGCATGGACTGTGTCGAAACGAGACACGAGATCTGGCGAAGTCATGGCTTTCTGAACCGGTTGGATCACTCAAAAATGAGTACGTGGGGTCTTTCACGAGATTTGATCCGGTGCACTCTGGAATGCATGGTTCTGGACTTCTCGGATCATCAGTTATCTTAAACACGGCTTCTGGGGTTTTGTCTACTGATTCTGATTTCACAGCCTGCGTTTGCTCACTGGAAGTCTGCATTTCTAAAGACCTGGGACCTGCCTGAAAACTGCTCGTGTCTTGGGCTTCAGACAAACTGCTCAAGACGGTTTCGGCTGCAATCATTTGATGTTTTCCACTCTGATTCACGGTCAGTGGTCGAGGTGGACAGCAAGCCGTCAAGGCACAAAAGTCAAGCAGAAACAATTTCTTGCTGGACAGTTCAAGCGGCAGCTCACATCCTAGGACTTTGAAAAGGATGCTTCGGCGAGTGGTGTCTATGACTGCTCCTAAACTTCTGCAAACGCTGTTGGAAATCAAAAATGGGGTCCTTGATTCAACGATGGCAATCTTGATCCAAAACCGATCCACAGGTACAAAAATGGCTTTATGGCATGGTACAACACTGTTATTCCCGAAGCGAAACGACATGGAGACTGGCCGTTCTTGAACAAGCTCTCGGACATCCTCAGGCAAACTGTCGAGAAACTCTGGCACCTGATGTTGGCCCATGACTGTTTGCGAAGCTCCTAGATCAAGGATTCCAGTGGTCTGAGTTGTTGCAAACATAGCAATTTCAGTGGAAATGGAGATCATAGGTGTCACTTTCTGAGAGGGCTTCGCATATTCACAATCATTGGAGGGCACATCGGTCGGTTGGCGCATTTCGGATGCATCCGGAAAACTTCTCTCCGTTTCGAGAGAGGGGGTTGTGCGCATGCTCTCAGCTGGTTTCATCCTGGCCATGATCTGGGTTTTCTGACTCTGGATGATACGGCTCATGCACTGGCTGACGTTATGGAAAAATTCCCCTTGATTACCCCTTGATTTATGCCCCTTATCATTGTGGTGATTATGATGGACATTATGACATATCAGATGACACTTATGGGAGTGTGATTTGATCCCACCACATGACGGGTCCTGGACAGACACGGTGACATCAGAACAGGGCATCACTTCGGGCATCAAGACATAGACGTCGGCGTCTTCGTCATCCACCTCAGCATCATTAACGATCATGGTGTTGGTCGGCTGAGCCTTGGAAGACGGATTGGTCGTGCTGCTGCCGGCATTGCGGCGTGGGCACTCTGCCTTCCAGTGGCCACGTTGGCCGCACATGCGGCAGTTTGATTCTGCTATGCGCTGTGCCAGAGGTTTCCGATGGCGTTGGAACCCCTGCTTGAACTTTCCCTTTTTGCCTGAACCCTTCCCGCTGACAGGCCAGAACCCGCGGCTGCGAGTTTTCTCTGTCAGGCGACGTCTGGCTTCCAGGTATGTATTCATGAACGTGGCCATTTCACCATCGTTTTGCACAGTTTCAATCAGAGCATCTTCAAACTGTTGAATCACCAAGGCATCTTCGTCACCCTCACTCACAAACTGATCCAGCATCATGTCAGAAACTTCAGAGGCTTCGGCTGAAAAGGAAAAATTGGAATCCTCCCCATAGTGATATTCCTCATCTGCTTCTTGAGTATAGTTCACATCGTACGTTTTGGTCTTATGACCCCGTTGTTGACCCTGAACGTCCAGGAAGAACTTGGCACCTAACATTCTGATAGCCTGAGTCACTTGCTCGTACTTGAGGTCCCCCTTGGCTTCCACGATCAAGCGCTTCTTGTCCTCAGCGTTCAAAATGCTGTTCCTGAGCAGGACATACGCTCGGACATCAGTCAACGTGGCACCTTGGGACACCAGATCCTCAAAAACGATCTCATGTCTGGCCATGTAACTCTCATTGCTCTCATCAGATTTTTGTGCTACCCCATAGATCGCTCGTTCAAACTTCTCGTACTTGTCCTCAAGAGTTGTCTTTCCCCAGACACCGCCTAGGGTTTGAACCAAAAGCTTGACCCCATTCAGGTCATTTGTTTTCAGTTTCTCTGGAGGGATGCGAACCACCTTCTGGAATGCGGATCCCTTGCGCTGTAAGGCTGCCCGAGGAGCCAACTGCCCTAGATATTCAGCAGGCCATAATCCGGCAAGGAATTCCAGGCGTCTTGTGTATTCTGACAAATCGGTTTCTCCTGGTTCAAAACTTGGTATCAAATGCCAAGGAAGATGGGATGAGTGGCCTGGTTGGTTCGACCCAGACACTCCTGTCCCATCGGCAACATCAATTGACATCGCGTCTCAAGCACGGGCACTGACTTGCAAACTGGATCTGCTCCTTTCCAGGAAAACAAGCACGGACCTATGCAGAGGTCGCTACAGCAAAATGCCGATGAACAAAATTGGTTTTGGCCACCCGGTAGCCGGAGTCCTGAGGAGCTTCTGGCTCCGCTACCAATGTGAATGGTAGGGTGCCAAGCCACCAACAGGATGTAGTCAATCCCTCCAAGGATGAGGTTCCCAAACGGAAATGATGTTGGTTCCACCAAGTCCAACCAAATTGGAAATGTAGATGGCCACGCCTATGGCTGAAATCACCGATGAATCCCTAGACTGCAACCCTGGCAGCAAAAGGCGTCCACGCCCTTTTTGGAGCGTACCACCAGCACACAACCCCCTGTCTCGGGCCTACGCATCGGACGGCACCACAGGTGATTGATTCGGCAGGAGTAGCTGAGACCCAAGTCATGGCATGATTGGACATGTCGACTGACCCATGTGACTGGTTGGGATCTGGATATTGGAAAATCACAATATATATACATATATGTATATATATATATATGTATCTATCTATATCTATATATATATATGCTAATCAAATCCCCTCAGAACCGATTAAAACAACATTTCCACTGATATTTACAATAAAAACAACACTTTTTGGGTCGATTACTTTTTGGGTCGATTACTTTGCAACAAGTTTTCCTGATATATACATATGCGCATGACCGTCTTCATAATCTACTTTTGATGGTATATTAACATGTATGTGTTATAGTAACATAGTTCGTGTAGGTCAAATGTAAGTATTGCAGGAACATGATACCTATAGGTCATCACACGCGACTCGCAGTGAAACCTTCACAATTACCGGGGAAGGGATATAAAGAAGGACATGCTTGCTATGGAAAAGCAGATGGCCGACAGAAGTAAGAGTTCCAATTTTGAAATGTTCGGCCATGTCCTAGATAATAACCTTAGTTTCATGCTATACTTTTTTGAACAGCATGTTTCATAAATTGGTGGCACACTTTGCTGAAGTAATACGACCATCTTCTCAAGCATTATTGCATCATCGATGGAATCTGCTGTAGACTCATGTTACACTTTCTTGGAGGGATGCTACACAGATTTGCCAAGAAACTATTCACTTTTAAAACTAATATACACACACACATATATATATAATATACACATACATATGTGCATCTTCAAAGGAAGGCTTTCCTTGATTGTCACAGATTTTGCACAGTTTGCAGTAATAGGACATTTTTTCAAGGAAATGCTGCACTAGTTTGAAAGAGATATTGTAGGTAATTGTGCGGCTGCACTCTTTGCATAGGCATGTAGCACTTGTTTACATTGCCATAATTATATTTGAATAAGTTTGCTTTCAGATTTATAATTTATAACTATAATTTGTTTTGCGTTGTTTGAAGCCATATTCTACTTTGTTTACCAAGATAAGATATTGCACATTTTGAAGACCTTTTGAAAGTCGAGTCACATAGCACCCTTTTCAAAACAAAACAACATTTCCATAGAACAGTTGTACTCTTTGAAAGGACATATTGCAGAAGGTGGTGCAATCCTTGCTTTACAACAAAAAAACATATTTTTAAACATGCTTTTGCATCATCAATGGAATCTACAGTAGGCTCTTCCTACACTTCCTTACAATAATGTTGCACACCTTGCAAACAAGAATCTGCACTTTCAAACGTAAAACACATGTTTCAATGAATGTGTCAGTAAGATGGCACTCTTTTCAAAACCATGCTGTAGTAATTCAAGAATAGATTCAATCTTGCAAAACAGCATACATTTTCCTACAGGAATGCTATGATTCTGGAAATCATTCAGTAAAACAATTTGATTTTGCCGCGAAACAAAAAAAATAAAACAACACAGAAAAAATATCTAAAGGTCTTGGGGATGGGGGTATTGGCACAAACCAACAAAAGCATCGGGAAAACAAAAAAAAAGAACAATATTCCAGAGGTCTTGGCGATTGGCACAAAGCAAAAAAAACATCGAGAAAACAAAAAAAACAACAAAAACAAAAAAACAACAATATTCCAGAGGTCTTGGGGATGGGGGGTCCCACCAAGAGTTTCCAAATATTGTTTTTTGTTTTTTTTGGTTTTCTCAATGTTTTTTGGTTTTCTGGCCAAAAATGCAAGCGCCTTTGGGAAAACAAAAAAAAAGAGGTCTTGGGGATGGGGGGATTGGCACAAAGCAAAAAGACCACCGAGAAAACAAAAAAAACAAAAAAAAACAAAAAAAACAAAAACACAAAAAAAACAAAAAAAAACAATATTTCAGAGGTCTTGGGGATGGGGGGGTCCCACCAAGAGTTTCCAAATATTGTTTTTTTGGGGTTTTCTCGATGTTTTTTTGGTTTTCTGGCCAAAAATGCAAAAACCTTTGGGAAAACCGAAAAAAAAAACATATTCCAGAGGTCTTGGGGATGGGGGGTCCCACCAAGAGTTTCCAAATATTGTTTTTTTGTTTTGTTTTTGGTTTTCTCAATGTTTTTTTGATTTCTCTCCATGGGGTCCTCTCCAAAGAGACTCAAAGTATTTTTTTTATGTTATCATTACATGGAGGTTTATACGGATGTTTTTTTCTGTTTATGGTATTAAGTGGTGGACAGACAACTTGAAGAGCAGACAAGTTGAAAGGGTGTTAACCAAGTTTAAAGGATGTGAGCCAAGTTGCAGGAAGGTACAGAAAGTTGCTGCTTTGGTCGGTTCTGGGGGGGGGTGACCATATATATATATATAATTTTGAATATATATACATATACACATGCACAGCACATATAATTATAAATATATATAATTGTATGTGTATATATATATATGTACACCAGAAAACATATACAAATGTCTCCATCTCTCCCTCTCCCTCTATATATCTATGTTCCTATATATATATATATGTATATATATATACGCACTGAAAAATATTATATGCATATGGCATATGCAGTCAGAGTGAGGATCCGAAGAGCCCCAGGTGATTCTCTTCGGAGACCTAATGGACAGCCACTCTCTTTTCTTGACTGGAAATACTGCGCCTTGGTCCTGGTAAGATCTGGTAAGCATCAGTTTGTTCGGCTGCTCTCACTTTTGCAGAATGTGAGGCTCAGCAACTGACAGCATACAAAAAGCAATTTTTGGCTCAATTGTGAAAGGAAGTTATCATCACTGGAATGCACTGAGGATACGGTCTATGTAGCATCCATCCTGAATTTGGGCGAGGATGGTCCAACTGTCATTGAAGTGCCAGGTGGTGCTGGTCCTGGAACCGTAAGCTCGGATGCAATAATTGCAGCGTAATTGTATGTATTTGTCGTACATTGTGATGCTGGGTGATTTGTTTTCGTGCCTGGCCTTGTGGAGACATCGTCCAAGATGGGAAGACACTTCAGCCTTTGAGGTGAACGATGCATACTTCCGCTTCGTATGTGATATGGGAAAGCCTGGCCCAGATAAGGGTGCTGGAGGACCGAAGAACCATAGACATTCTACTAGCGGAGGTACGGAACTCACATTGCATGCTGGCGTCAATCCTTTTTCTGCATAACCGAGCATCCGAGCAACTACCCATGGAAGGAAAGTATCTCATCATTCCTCCGGGCTATGACGGGCAGGTGCCCGATGGCTACTTCGTCTTCCACTCTCCGACATTTACAAACTTTGTTGTCAACAGAGGCAGGTCGCTTGCGAGGTCACGCTGCCTCAGTGTTGGCATGCCTTCGTGAAAACTCATTTCGTGATTTCTGTTGCTGCACAGCCTGAAATTGGGCCGGGTGGGGCGATTCTTCAAGCTAGATCTGAATTTCTTCCTAGCTCGGTCTTATTAGGGTTTCCCAACTTGGTGACAAAAGCGTTGATGCATCAGGCTTTTTGAAAGATGGGAAGCCAGATTCCTCTGCTGCCTTGTGGAGAGATGGTTTGAAGATCTACCCTCTGAAAAGTGCATCAAATCCGCCCAAGATGGAATTCCTCAACGTGTCTGGAAAGTCCATGCCACTAGGCCAAGTCAATAAGCTTGCGAAGGTGACTGCATCAAGAGTGTACCGACCTATTGCTCTTGGCCGCGCTTTCACATTGGAGATGGGTGATCAGTCACTGAGTCACACACCCTGCTGAGGAATACCATTCACTCCAACGACTTTGGTTTTTTCAACGAGGTCAATGACGTGATTCAGCGGGAGCCTATTGAACTTCTGGACCCGGAATTACGGGGGAACTTGGCCGCCATCGGCATCAGAAAAGGCGAGCCCTTCAATCCGAGTGAGCACATGAAGACGCTTCTCACGGAAGGGGAGCCTTGTTCCGCAAAGACGGTTTGGGTGTGCTGCAGATGCTGGGTGGTTGTGGTGGTTGTGATGGTTGGGAGGACAGGGCGTGGAACACATGACCCTGAAGAGATTCCGTTCTTGGGCATGCGAACCTTTTGAAGATGATAAGCGCCCGAATCCTTTGCAAAAGCCCGTGTGCAATTTGGGCTGTTCCGACACAGAGGGCATCACAGTTTTCTGATCCTTTTTGTTTTGCATGGTTTCCATGAGAAGCCCAGGCAAAAAAATGGTTTCCATGATGATTTGCCAAAGCAAATCATTGCAATATTTAGTCCGAACCTTCTGGAGCCTCGACGCTCGGGCTCTGATTCCCCGTGGCCGTGTCATGTCGGCCCTGTCGGCCCTGTCGGCCCTGTCTGAGGTGGTCCTCGGAAATGCCACAGCTCGAGCGCTGAGCTTCGCACCACGTCATCCTGAAACCAGGCTCTATGGAGAAGAAAGTCGCTTTGCACGCGATGGCGATGGCATCTCCAACACGAACATGTGAAGCATGCAATGACGGCCTTTTTTTCGGGCAGATGCTTCTTAATTTTCACATCAGATTGGTGGCTTTCCTGAGGTGAATGGTCTCAGATTTTTGTTGGGGGCTACCAGTGGCTGGTAGATGAAGGACGTGGTGGGCGACACATGGATGGCAGGACTCAGCGCAGGGCCGGCATGCAATGCCAGAAAAAAGCGTTGATGCAATCCTTGCGTCATTGATATCTCAATCTCCTCAACTCTTGAGATTTTTGAGCCAAGTAGGGGCCAGGATCCCTCGATGTACTTGAGCTTGCAACCGTTGCAGGACACGATTCTTTTACCAGGCCACTTTGAACACACCTGCGATGGTTCTGAAGCTCGTTGGTGTTGGTTCCCAATATGCTGGGATTTACCGCGATGAAAACCACCAATACTTGGACGGAGGCAAATGCTACTCACTAACGTTGCCACCAAATGTGCCCGGGCAAGCACCAGCACCAGAACTGACACGTAACATGATTGATATACTTCTGATATCTTTTGATGCACTTCCTTCCAATGATTCTAAGTGATTCTAACATACCTTGCTGTGAGGGGCCCGACCTGGGGCGGCTAGTGCCTCTGAACTCAGGTGCCCGCAAAAGACTTTTGGCCTCTTGCCTTTGATCTGGCGTTTGCACAGTCTGCACATTCAACTCAACACTCAAAGGATCCAGGGGATTCCACAGGGCATTTGATTTCATGCGTTTCACGGACCTGGATTCTTATCCGCATATATTTGGGCCGGTTGACTACCGGCAGCCTTCCCCAGTCGAGGTCCGTGGTGGTCTATGATGCTCAAACTCGGTCAATGCTGCAAACAGAGCAGGTATCGCCAGGCTTGTTGATACGGTGAAGCCTACTCAAAGACGCGCCACACACATGCAGATCTGACGAAAAGCATCAAAACGGGAAGGATGGCTCCACGTTCCAAGAAAGAATGGCGGGAAAGTGCGCCAATGTAGAGATCCCTTGGGTAGAAGCGGTGGGAAAGAACCACCAGTTCAGCCTTTTTGGATGGGGGTACCCCATACCATTGCATGATGGACTGCACGGGCAGGTCGCAACTCTGTTCGGCATCCTGACATGAAAGCAAACTCTGACGGCTCTACCACCTTGTGGTTTGGGCCAAGCGCACCAGGAGGTAAAGCAACGAACTGGATTCAGACGACGCTTGGTCTTCATATGACATGTCTCTGTTGCTTAATTATGATTTGTTTTTTTTGAGCTTCGCTGCAGCACAGTCCATGCCCGGAGACAATTTGGGCGACAAGGATCCCTGGAAAGACTTGGTTCCTATACCTCCGACTGTATGGTCCTGGAGAAGCTTGGTCTCTTGCTCAGCAGTGGCCAAGTAGCCTCCTGTCCTTTCTGAAAGCTCGAAAGATTATAACAGTTATTCCTTTTTGAGTGCTTACTGTTGGCCCACCATATTTGCATCCCAAGGTTTGACAAGTCCTGGAAACCCGGAGAATTGCGTGAGGAGAGCGCGGCCAAAGGCGGTTACTAAGAGAGTCGCAGCGTGCGTTTCTGTTTTAGCAAGGCCGATGATAAGGCCAGTAGGCCAGTAGGCCGAAACCTCGATTCCGCATGCCGGGCAAAAGTGGGACTGCACAAGGCGTCTCCCGCAAAAGGCGTCTCCCGGCATTCAAGTCCCTGGCAAGAAGGGTTTCTTGCTGCACCATGCCCCGCCAAAGAGTTGGAAAATTTGGAGCATGTGTCCAGATTTGCCATCCGATTTCGTCTTTCCACATTGCTCTCTTGGTGCGTTGCACTTGCCAAGAGGGCAATGCGTTTCCATAGAGTTCCTATGGTTTTGGGGTGTGCTGGGAACTCAAAATTTGAAGTACATCATATACACGTTTCTTGAAATGAGTTGTGATGGGCTCTTCTCCAGGTATGACTTTGCTCAGGTATTGCCACCTTTCAAACTTTGCACATTTTAGGGTTCGCAGCCATATGAGATGAATGATCTCCTGCACAAATTGTTCTCCAGGGCAGTGAGGATAGGTCTATTTGGCTTCAACCCATGCGCTCATTGGTAAGTTCTTTTCTTTTTGTGGTTAGAATCTGTGCGCGCTCTCAGCCAGATGGCCAATATAGCATGCAGTGCGTATCCTACAATTTATTGCCAGGATTGTGTGATTGCCATCAATGAGGCCCTGCTGCCCAGGCACCATCGCATTGGTACACGTTGTGCATCGGGCATTTGATATTTGCTAGTATGGGCTGAGCATAGTTTTGATTGCACTCCTTCATTTTGCTGGACTTTTGGGGTGTGTGCTTCCACTTATGATAAGGATTGATAAGGCAGAACATTCCAAGACTGCTTCGAGACAACTTCCGTCAGGCACGACGTTTCTCCGCAACTGCGTCTCCGGATTTTGTTGGCGCTGCTGCACTGGGCTGGCAGCACCTTCAACCCGGAGCAACTGGAAGATCTTCGAACCATGCTGAAGGATCTCGAATGGATCCCACTTGCTGATGGGCACCTCCAACTGCATAGTGCATCAAATTACACATGGATCCAAACAAACCAAGCTCTTCCATGTCAGAGGTATGTAAATCATGTAAACCAAGTATATAACTATAGATATACTAGATATTTGTTGTGGAGATGGGTCATGCCGAGTCATTCCCACGTTTCTCAGGTACGGTGCCGTTAGCGCCACCTTTGACCCTGACGCAAAACTTCCTCCGCTTCACGTAGTCACGCGCTACCTGACTGTCATTAGAAAACATCATTCGGTTATATAGATACAAAAAGGTTTGATTCGAAATTTGAAATCAAAATCAGCTTCGACGTGAGAAAGGAGGAACTCACATATGTGCCCCTTGGACTTAGGACACCTTCCAGACCTATCCAAGTGGATTGAGGAACAGTTCACAAAGGACCAAGCAACTTGGCCTCATTCACTACAGTAACACTAGCAGCCAAGCGAAGGCGAGTAGAAGGCGAATAGATGGTTGTTTTTTGAGACGGGTGCAGATTTCTGCTCTGTGCCTGGCTTCCTTTTTTCTAAAGTTTTTGAGGCAAAGTATGTTTGGCAAGCCTTGCGTTCCTGCGGCATGAAGAAGGAAATCACATGGGAGGATGCACTGGAGGAGGCTGAGCATATTTCCCACTCTGGTGACCATAACTTGTCCAAGATTCTATTCAAACATTTGGGACAGAACTATTCAGCGATGCACGGTAAGAAGGAGGAGTGTATGGACAAGTTGAAGGGGTTGAAATGGGTGTTGGCACACCCGCACCAAGATGCCGCTTCCAAGAGTCCGCACACATCACGAGGAACGGTCTTGAGATCGCTGTCCGAGATTTTTCCAGTGTCAGAGTTTGACTTCGTATGGGCTGTGGAAAGCACCCTTCACACGGAGCTTGACGTGCCAGTGCCGGCCTTCTTGAAAGCGAGCAGGTCTGTAAAGTCTGAGCCAACAGTTTTGGTATCCCAGTTGGAGGCCTGTGCAAGAGCTGCGTCACTCGACGAAGTTTATGGCTGCCCTACCCAAATTCACTTTAGCCTGTTTGCGGAGGTTGGCCTGGTCACCTTGTCAAGGGCACATGAATTATTTCTCCAAAAATGCCCCCCGATTCACCCTGACCTGTTGCTAACATGCAGGTGCCAATCAATGCTTGACTACTCTACATGTAATCAGGCTGTTTGATTTATCTAAATTTCTGTCGGTTTGGGGCCAAAAACTTCACCAACTTTCGGCGTATGCTCAGGCCTGGGCCGGATGACACACCTACTGAGCAACCTCCCCGCACTGGTCTCGTACCTCCCGAGAAGTTGTCCGACTTCACCATCCCAATGAAGGAGCTGTATGAGAATCACAAAGAGTCAGCAGCAAGACTGCTGAAGCCCCTGCGTGATTTAGCTTTCCTTCCATGCATGCCCAAAAGTGAAGGTGGTGCTATATTGTTCCAGTTGGAGCATGCTGCCCTCGAATCTGACCAGGGGCATCAGAAGCTTCTGCCAGTTTTTGGCATTGTGCATTCTGATGTGCGAGAGCTGGCAGTGCAGATTGGAGTAGAAAAACGGCCTGGTGTCAGCAGCCTTGTGGATTGCATCCCAAGGTTCGGTGCAGAAATGGCAGTTGTACTGTGCACAGAGCTTGCGGGTCGCTTAGAAAAGTATAAAGACGATGCTCTTTTGTACAAGGCCGTGCTTGCAAATTTGCAGGTTCCAACTGCCACGGGTCAGTTTTTGCCACCTCGAGAGGTGTACGTCAACGATGCTCCGTGGACACGTAGTGGTCCCGTTGAGACCCTCGATGAAAGGATTTCACACGTGCATGGAAGAAGGCTGGGTTGCACATCCGTTCGTAACAAGCTGGCTCAAGAGTGTGAGGATGGTAGCGACGAGGAGGATGCATTCGGACAAGAGGCAGATCTGGTTGATCAAGTGGAGTTAATCCTCAAGGATTACAGTAGCCCCAGCGATGTCGTTGCCGAATTTTTCCAAAACACCGACGACTTTGGTGCTTCGCACCTTGTGTTTGCTCTCTCAGATACAACTTATGATGGGAAAAAAGTTGTGGACCAACGCTGTGAGGCATTGCAGGGTCCTGCGCTCTACATTTGCTCAAGCAAGCCTTTGGAAGAGGAGGACATCAAGAGGATGCAGAAGGTGGGCGGCTCGGCCAAGAGCCACGACTTTCAAAGCACTGGGCGGTTTGGTATCGGGATGAATGTCATGTACAGATACAGCGACTGCCCCCAGCTCTTGGCAAACGGCCGCCTGCACTTCTTCGATTTGCAAAAGAGATTTGTTGCACGAAAGAAAGGGAAACGTGGCCGCAAATTCAGGATCGAAGAGCTGCAAGAGTTTTTCCCGGATAGCGTTGCTCCTTTCAAAGACTTCATGCATTACCCTGTTATTTTTCGTCTTCCCCTACGCACCAAGCAGTCCAGATTGGGTGAAAGTGTGAATCTGAGTTCAGTTCAAAGTGACCTACAATGTGCCCAAAAACAAGCGCCTTCAATGCTTCTGTTTTCCAAGTCAGTGAGGAGAATAAGTTTCAGCGGTCCAAGTGACTTCACTGCTAGCCATGAGGCAGTAATGGATGAGGCGCAGGAACAGAAACACAAAGAATTCTTCGCATCTCTTCCAAAGACGCTGGCCGAACTTGACCACGGAGAAGACAGACAGCTTTGCGTTAAGAAGCGGATTGTCAGTCAGCTGGGAGGTAAAGATCATGAACGCGAATGGGTCGTTGCCCATACATTGGCTTTGTCCTCCAAAAGTTTGCTGAACATTTGTGCTGCGCTCTTTGCAGAACCTCTTGGCGATGCGCTTTTGCCACTGGCTGCTGCAGCTGCCCCGTTGGACGATAAGGATTCACAGGGAAGGACACTGGGACAAGCTTCGAGTCTAGTTATGTAGAGAAGCCCGAATCACATTTGGTCCAATGCCCATTCTCAGCACGTCCGATTGAGTACTCCGTACAGGTGTTTCTGTCTCCCTGATTCATCCATGGTCCATATGCCTTGTTAAGGATATGTTGCGGCTTGCCAACTCCGCTCAAAACGGGCGGCAGATCATGGATAAACGGATCCTTTGTCCTTTCATCTTCAAGAGCCTTGGCGAGATGCTTTGAAGACCTTTGTCATTACTCTAGGTTCGCTGTGCATAGGAGAGTGGATGGAGGTGGTAGGTACAGTCCAACTATGGACCTGTAGCGACCTAGCGTCTTTGCGGGTTCAGCGCTGCTCAGGGAAACAGATCCTGTTGCCGGAGAACGTTGATTCGAATCGAGAAACTTGGCCTTTGTTTTTTTGGCGCCAGCATGAGAAAAATGGCAGCTGTCAGTCTCATTCAATGCTACCCCGAAGCCGAAGCTGAAGCAACCCAAATCCGATTTATCCCAGGAGAAAGACTGGAACCAGAAGTTGCTGAAAGGTCCAGCGGCCTCAAGCTTGAAAGCAGTGATGTTGGAATGCCGAAAGGTGGTGGGATCTGAGGAGGATGTTGACACTTGAACTGCTTAGCTTATATTTTTTCCTAGCCGATACATGCCGATACTTATTGCTATTTCCAGCTTTGGCATGTTTGGATTGCTTGTGCACTCGTTCATTCCATACATGATCAAAGGAAGTTTAGGGGGAGAAACTTCCGTGTTACGGACTTTTAGAATGTCAGGGAAAGAGTTAGTCAAAGAAAGAGTTAGTCAGGGAAAAGTTAGTTAGGGAAAGAGTTCATCAGGGAAAGAGATAGTCAAAGAAAGAGTTAGTGAGGGAAAAAGTTAGTTAGGGAAAGAGTTCATCAGGGAAAGAGTTAGTCAAAGAAAGAGTTAGTGAGGGCAAGAGTTAGTTAGGGACAGAGTTCATCAGGGAAAGATTTAGTCAAAGAAAGAGTTAGACTGTCAGGAAAGAGTTAGTCAAAGGAAGAGTTAGTGAGGGAAAGAGTTAGTTAGGGACAGAGTTGGATTGCAAGTGGTGCTGGTGGAGGAGTTGCCGATGGAGTTTTGAAGGAAGTCTCGCACGAAATGCGTTTTTGAGAGATAGCAGATGCAAGAAAGCCTATGTTTTTCCATACAAAGTCCGTCCCCGAACGTCGATGATCTACCTCTGCGGTGCGACGGGTGCGAGACGGTCTCGTGTGTGGTCGGATCATGGTCGGATATTCTCGGATCATGTTCGGATCGGTTCCGCATTGTAAATGGGGTTTCACCTGTGTTTCGTGCATTTGCGGTCGACAGAATTCCATTGTGATTTGTAACTGTAGGATCGTTCCTGCAATGTAAATGGGATTGCAAGTGGTGCTGGTGGATGAGTTGCCGATGGAATTCCATTGTGATTTGCAACTCTATAGGATCGTTTTCTCACTGCAAATGGGATTGCAAGTGGTGCTGGTGGAGGAGTTGCCGATGGAGTTTTGAAGGAAGTCTCGCACGAAATGCGTTTTTGAGAGATAGCAGATGCACGAAACCCTATGTTTTTCCATACAAAGTCCGTCCCCGAACCTCGGTGATCTACCTCTGCGGTGCGACGGTTGCGAGACGGTCTCGTGTGTGGTCGGATCATGTTCGGATCATGGGCGGATCATGGGCGGATCATGGGCGGATCATGGGCGGCTCGGTTCCGCATTGTAAATGGGATTTGGTGCTGGTGGATGAGTTGCCGATGGAATTCCATTGTGATTTGCAACTCTAGGATCGTTCCCTCACTGTAAATGGGATTGCAAGTGGTGCTGGTAGAGGAGTTGCCGATGGAGTTTTGAAGGAAGTCTCGCACGAAATGCGTTTTTGAGAGATAGCAGATGCACGAAACCCTATGTTTTTCCATACAAAGTCCGTCCCCGAACCTCGATGATCTACCTTTGCGGTGCGACGGTTGCGAGACGGGCTCGTGTGTGGTCGGATCATGCTCGGATCATGTTCGGATCGGTTCCGCATTGTAAATGGGGTTTCAAGTGTTTTTCGTGCATTTGCGGTCGACAGAATTCCATTGTGATTTGCAACTGTAGGATCGTTCCCGCAATGTAAATGGGATTGCAAGTGGTGCTGGTGGATGAGTTGCCGATGGAGTTTTGAAGGAAGTCTCGCACGAAATGCGTTTTTGAGAGATAGCAGATGCACGAAACCCTGTGTTTTTCCATACAAAGTCCGTCCCCGAACGTCGATGATCTACCTGTGCGGTGCGACGGGTGCGAGACGGTCTCGTGTGTGGTCGGATCATTCTCGGATCATTCTCGGATCATTCTCGGATCGGTCTCGGATCGGTTCCGCATTGTAAATGGGGTTTCACCTGTGTTTCGTGCATTTGCGGTCGACAGAATTCCATTGTGATTTGTAACTGTAGGGTCGTTCCTGCAATGTAAATGGGATTGCAAGTGGTGCTGGTGGATGAGTTGCCGATGGAATTCCATTGTGATTTGCAACTCTAGGATCGCTCCCTCACTGTAAATGGGCTTGCAAGTGGTGCTGGTGGAGGAGTTGCCGATGGAGTTTTGAAGGAAGTCTCGCACGAAATGCGTTTTTGGAGTGGCTGCATGAAGGCTGCCACAGTGATTTGTCAGCAGATTTTCTCCATTTTGGCGCTAGTGATTTTCCTTCTAAAAATCCTTTTAAAAACTGCTTCAAAATCGTCTTTTTTTCGCTCTGGCATCGAGATCCGGTTTTGGAGCTACAATTTCCGACGCCGTTGTGCGTAGTTCTGTTGTGTTTTGCAACTCAGTCTCTGCAGATCGCATTGTAATGGCTGTGTCAAGGTTGCTTCGTGTTGTGGCTGCATTGGTAATCCTATTGTCTTTTGCAGCTCGATCGCGTAAATCGTATTGGAGTGGCTGCATGAAGGCTGCGAAATAAATTTGTTAGCAGATTTCTCCATTTTGGCACTAGTGTTTTTTTGTTGCACGTAGGTTTAGAGCAGTGTGAAGTGTGGGGCGTAAAGAGTGCAGTGTGAAGTGTGAAGTGTGAAGGAAGCAGTGGGAAGTGAGAAGTGTAAAGTGTGGAGTGTGAAGTGTGGAGTGTGAAGTTTAAGTTTGGAGTGCGAAGCGCGCAGTGTGAAGTGTGAAGTGTGAAGTGTGAGATTTGGAGTGTGAAGGAAGCAGTGGGAAGTGAGAAGTGTGAAGTGTGGACTGTGAAGTGTGAAGTGTGAAGTGTGAAGTGTGGAGTGTGAAGTTTGAAGTTTGGAGTGCGAAGAGTGCAGTGTGAAGTGTGGAGTGTGGAGTGTGAAGACTTTGCTTCGTCTCTCGCTGAAAAAATCAAACGGTTGTCGAGGGAAGGACACGGTCGGGACAGGTTGTCTTTGAACTATAGGTCCTTTATGTTTGGGAAACTTCCGCCGCCGGCTTGCCCGGGTCTATGTTAAACACATCCATTCAAGGAAGCATTCTTCGACCTGCTTCCAAGCGGAATGAACACCCAGATTGAAGAAGTTCTGGCTGTTGCAACCATGTCTTCAGCTATGAAGGATCAACTGTTTCCAGTGCTGTCTGCAAATGGTGCAGGATCAGTGAAAGTCAACTGGATCTATGGGCCAAAGCCGCTACTTAGAACCAAGCGTTTGAGCCAAGAATTGCAGAACCTTTTGGCATCTGACGGTCTGCAACTTGTCTTCTTACCATCTGGTGCCAAAGATGTCTACGAAAAGGCTCTTCAACATGAGCCACGTCATTTGGACAATGAGGAGCTATGCAAGTTCTTGGCAGAAACATGGGCATCTTTGCAACCGAACATCTTCAAACATGTTGCCCTGGAAGATGTTGGGGTGCAAGTCCTGTCAGATGCCAAAGCCATTTTGCAGCTGCTGAACTTTATCGCCGTCAAAGCAGATCCACAATTCAAGCAGTTGGAAGGAGTCCCACTGCTTCTCACCCATGGGGGAAAACTCACTGCCTTCGGGCGAGAGAATGTTTGTTTCAAGAGCGATCGCGAATTGCTGCCCAATCATCCAGACCTCTTTGTACACAATGAGGTATGGCAAAAGATCACCAGAGTGAAGGGGCATCCTGAGCCAGTCGGTGTTCGCAAACTCAAGACTGAAGATTTGCTTCCCTTCAAGAGTGAGGTCGAGGCCCTTGTTCTTGAAGGTGGTCGGATGTTTGAGCAGAATGCCTATTTGCGACACTTGTGGCGCTTCATCTCCAAGAAAGAGAACGTTGCTCAGAGCATAAAACAGATGCAAGCGTGGCAGTTCCTTCCGGTTCACTCCAATGACGGTGAAGCTTTGGTGCTCCTAAACCTCGCTTCCCAGACCGTTGACCCCCTTGCCATGCGACTGGACCAGAAAGTGCAGCAAGCTTTGCTGTGTGCAGGTCTCTTACTTCTGCAGGATGGCGTCTTGGACCTGTCGGGGAACGAACGGCTGCTCTTAGAAGCAGGGGTTGTGCAAAAAGATCATGATTTAGTCTCCTTGCTGCTGGAGGTCGACAGAAATACCTTCGATACCTTGAATTTAGATCAGAGGTATGCACTCCTAGCGTACTTCTCCGGCCTGGTGGTCAGGGAGATTATGCACCACCTACCCGAAGACATTTCAAGACTTCCGCTCTTCAAACTTGCCCAGGGGGAAGGTGTCACAGATGTATGTGAGATGAATGTCACATTTTGCTGCCTCGATATCAGGGACAAACATGCTGGTGCTTTGGAAAAGCTGACGCCTTTAAAAGCTGTGCTGCTAGCTTGGCCTACGATGCAGGTGAGGCCAATCTATGAGTTCTTGGGGATCCAATGCCATTCTGGCGAAGATTTTATGGTCCGCTTCATCCTCCCTGATCTTGAGAGACTTTGCCGGGAGCACACCAGCGGCACGCCTTGCACGCTTCCCAAACAGTATTTTCAGCTGTTGGATCAGCTCCAAGAGTTTGTTTCAGAACGCTCGTCAAAAGTGATAGAAGCAGCTATGGACAAGCAGATCTTTCTAAGTGCATCGGGCAGCCCATCGACCGCAAGTTCCTTGGTTGACCCTAATATTTTGTTGATCCGATGCTTCAAGCAGTGCTGCTCGGAGTACTTGCCGGCAGAAGGGGTTGATCAATATCCGGAACTACTTGCTGGTTTGGGTTGCAGATGTTTGTCCCAGAGGACTTGCTTTTAAAGCTGGCACAACAGCTAGATGCAAAGAAGGAACCTGAGCTGCAGTCAGGACTTGCAAAGCAGAGGACAAGACTCACTTGATGGATGATAGTTTCTTGAACTGCCATGCTCTTGAAAGTGCCCTTGCGCCTCAACACACTTTTCTACCCTTAGCTTCCATTTGCGTCTTGCAATCTTTGCGAGTCAGATTCGATGCAGTCTATGTGTTAACTAGATTGGGGCGTCGCCTTTCGTTAAACGAGTCATGTCGACCGTAAGGACTGGAAGGTCACAGATGAGCTTCGAGAACAATCTTTCTATTTGGTGGAAGCTGCTTCCGAAGCTGTTGCTAACACGCTTTCGAGAGAGAGCAAGGACGCGTTGAACGCAACTGCTTTGAACGCAATTTCGAAGCTACACATCGTTGTCGCAGCTCAGATTGAAGAAAGCCAAGCCAAAGAGGACCTTGTGGAAGTGGGTTGGGCTAAGAGACTAGAAAGGATGTTGGAAAGGTCGTAGCAGGATGATAGCAGGATGACCTTGCAGGAGATCGAAGCCATGCAAGGTCAACGCGGATTTTTCCACGTCAATGCGTGCGTTGCCAAAACGAGCCTGACGAGTCTGAAGCTCCGTCCTTTCCGGGGCACTGCCTTTGGTGAGTCGCGGAACCTGCTTTGGAGTACGAGCTTTGTGGCATACCACCGGCACCCACAGGTGGGCACGGCGCCGCAGCTTGAGCGTGCTCTGAAGTACTATACAGAAGATACTTGTCCAGCCATGTCCAGCCAGTTCACGTGCTTTCCTAAGTTTTTGTCCTTGCTTCACATTGTTTTATCCTTTCTGCGGTTGTTTTTCATTCATTTTTCAACCCATATGGAGACAATACCCAGTCAGGAGATGTACAGAAATTTGGGAGCCTTTGTCACCTCAGACCATGTACCATTTAAGCTGCTCAGCGAACACATGATGAACCTCTGCTCTTTGCCACATCCAGAGAAGGAGGAACTCACAGTGGACAAGACGAGCACTTTTTGCGAACAGTTGATGTCGTGCTTTGATGAACTCAGGAAGAGAAATCTAACAACTGCCCAGCATCGAGAATTGAGAGCCTTCAACCAGAATGGCATGCGCTGCATTGCGGTTAAGCAGGATGATGCTGCAAACATCCCAGAGCAAAGTCAGATTACCTTCGCAAGTCCCCGGAGGTGTTTTACCTTTAGAAACTTCAAAGCAAAGGCTTTCCACGGCTATTTGCGTGAAGCACAGGGCCTGAAGCTCTACAGTGACATGGGCGTGGCAGACGATCCAGATGCTCTCACGCTAGCAGCGCTTACACAAAGAGTCAAAGATGAATACCCGGATGACTACAGCAACGGCCACATCATGCGAGATGTTGATGTTCTTCAGGCTTGCTTGAAATGTTTCCATTCTCTAGTCAAAGGCTCTGAGATTGAACGGTCACGGTTGAATGAACGGCTTCCTTTCAACTTCTACTACCTGGACGAGGATGACAAAATCGAAGATGTATCTGCCTTGGTGTCTTGTCTCTGATTTTCTTAGAGTCCAGAGTTGTAGGTGTAGACAGGCAGCCTCTTGGGCCTAGATGATTTGAAAATTAAAGGACCGGATAACCCCACATGTTACCAACTTCTTTAGACTTAGACTGACCATAGAAGAGCAAGAAGGGAAGAGGAAGTATAAGAGTGATGGAGCGGTGATGGTGGGTGAGTTTGTGTGTATGTATGTATGTATGTTCATGTACAGTGAGTGAGTGAGAGTGTGAGTGAGTCATGTGAGTGTGGTGTGTGTGAGTGAGGGATGTGAGAGTGAGTGAAGTGAGTGAAGTGAAGTGAAGTGAAGTGAAGTGAAGTGAAGTGAAGTGAAGTGAAGTGAAGTGAAGTGAAGTGAAGTGAAGTGAAGTGAAGTGAAGTGAGTGAGTGGGTGAGTGAGTGAGTGCGGTAGGTGAGGTAGGTGAGGTAGGTGAGGTAGGTGGTGAGGTGGGTGAGGTGGGTGAGGTGGGTGAGGTGGGTGAGGTGGGTGAGGTAGGTGAGGTAGGTGAGGTAGGTGAGGTAGGTGAGGTAGGTGAGGTAGGTGAGGTAGGTGAGGTAGGTGAGGTAGGTGAGGTAGGTGAGGTAGGTGAGTGAGTGAGTGAGTGAGTGAATGTGAGTGAATGTGAGTGAGTGTGAGTGAGTGTGAGTGAATGTGAGTGAGTGTGAGTGAGTGTGAGTGAGTGTGAAGCCTCCCATTAACGTCCCCACCACCGGCCAACGTGGTGTCGGCTCGACCGAAGCCGAACCGTTTGGTAAGGACGAAGGCATCGACCTCAGTGAAGAAACAGGACGAAAGATGAACCTGTTATTTTATCAATCTATTTATCCATCGATCGATTTCTCTGGCTATCTATCCATCTATCTATCGATCTATCTAGCAATCTATCTGTTCAATCAATCCATCAACAACCCATCCAACCTGCATGAGTGAGTGAGTGAGTTAGTGAGTGAGTGAGTAAGTACATGTATTGTCCCACGCCTGCCACGCAAAAGAGGCGGAGCCCCAAGGGACGCCAGGGCGTACATCAGACCCTTTGGCAATGCACGTTGTCCCACGCCTGCCAAGCAAAAGAGGCGGAGCCCCAAGGGACGCCAGGGCGTACATCAGACCCTTTGGCAATGCACATTGTCTCACGCCTGCCACGCAAAAGCGACGGAGCCCCAAGGGACGCCAGGGCGTACATCTGACCCGCAGTGCACCTTGTCCCACGCCTGCCACGCAAAAGCGGCGGAGCCCCAAGGGACGCCAGGGCGTACATCTGACCCCTTGGCAGTGCACGTTGATGTACGCCTGCCACGCAAAAGCGGCGGAGCCCCAAGGGACGCCAGAGCGTACATCTGACCCCTTGGCAGTGCACATTGTGCACATATGTCCCACGCCTGCCACGCAAAAGACGCGGAGCCCCAAGGGACGCCAGGGCGGGCGTACATCAGACTCCTTGGCAGTGCACATTAACCCACGCCTGCCACGCAAAAGAGGCGGAGCCCCAAGGGACGCCAGGGCGTACATCAGACCCCTTGGCAGTGCACCTTGTCCCACGCCTGCCGCGCAAAAGCGGCGGAGCCCCAAGGGAAGCCAGGGCGTACATCCAACCCCTTGGCAGTGCACGTTGATGTACGCCTGCCACGCAAAAGCGGCGGAGCCCCAAGGGACGCCAGAGCGTACATCTGACCCCTTGGCAGTGCACATTGTCCCACGCCTGCCACGCAAAAGAGGCGGAGCCCCACGGGACGCCAGGGCGTACATCAGACCCCTTGACAGTGCACATTGTCCCACGCCTGCCACGCAAAAGAGGCGGAGCCCCAAGGGACGCCAGGGCGTACACCACGCAAAAGAGGCGGAGCCCCAAGGGACGCCAGGGCGTACATCAGACCCCTTGGCAGTGCAGATTGCACGCCTGCCACGCAAAAGCGGCGGAGCCCCAAGGGACGCCAGGTCGTACATCTGACCCCTTGGCAGTGCACCTTGTCCCACGCCTGCCACGCAAAAGCGGCGGAGCCCCAAGGGACGCCAGGGCGTACATCCGACCCCTTGGCAGTGCACATTGTCCCACGCCTGCCACGCAAAAGCGGCGGAGCCCCAAGGGACGCCAGAGCGTACATCTGACCCCTTGGCAGTGCACATTGTCCCACGCCTGCCACGCAAAAGAGGCGGAGCCCCAAGGGACGCCAGGGCGTACATACGACCCCTTGGCTGCTCACATTGTGCCACGCCTGCCACGCAAAAGCGGCGGAGACCCAAGGGACGCCAGGGCGTACATCCGACCCCTTGGTAGTGCACATTGTGCCACGCCTGCCACGCACGCCTGCCACGCAGAGTGAGTGAGAGAGTGAGTGAGTGAGTGAGTGAGAGTGTGTGAGTGAGTGAGAGTGAGTGAGTGTGTGAGTGAGTGAGTGTGTGAGTGGGTGAGTGAGTGCGTGAGTGAGTGAGTGTGTGTGTGTGTGTGAGTGTGTGTGTGTGTGAGTGAGTGAGTGAGTGAGTGCGTGAGTGAGTGTGAGTGAGTGAGAGTGAGTGAGTGAGTGAGTGAGTGTGTGAGTGTGTGTGAGGTGAGTGAGTGAGTGAGTGAGTGTGTGAGTGAGGGTGAGTGTCTGAGTGTGTGAGTGAGTGTGAGTGAGTGAGTGTTTGTGAGTGAGTGAGTGTGACTGTGTGTGTGAGTGAGGAGGAGGACGGGCGGGCGGCGGGCGGACGGAGGCGGCGGATACAGAACTAAAAACAAAAACCCCACACGTCAATGTGGGGAAAAATATTCCAAGCTAGTTTGAAGACCTCCTCTGGCTGACACTCCATCAAGAAATGCATTTGCAGCAAAGATCAGCAGACATGTGCAGCAACAACGAAGGTTCGCATTGATGTCGAGTGTTGGAAAGACCGGCTAGATGCTGCAGGGCTGCGCTTTGTCAAGAACACAGGTGAGGTCCGGTTCTTCCAAAGTGGTACAGGCTTACGAACCAAATACCGGTGATCCATCTCTTGTACTCTCTTTGTTGTGGCTGGCACTTGTGCTATGCCGCTAGGCTATGCCCCAACCCGGGACGACCCACGGAACGCTCATTTTACGTGATCCTGCCAGTAGTTGGTAGCCTTACAAGTCCCATGCAAATTTGTTTCCCCTGCCCTGCGCTGTTCGTGCGCGCATTATTTCCATAGTGAAGTAAGTAGCATCCCTTTTCTGCCCTTGAAATTCTCCAACGAAGGTAAAGGTTAACAGGGGTGGTGATTTATCCCACTCCGTAAAGGTAAGTAGCGCTCACATGCGTCCACCTTTTCTTTCCTGTTTGAAGCTCTTTAATCAATGTAGAGTTCAGGGGTGGGGGGTTCTGAAAGTGCAAATGATCAAGTGGGTAAATGTGGAGGGGGGGGCAGCGCACCTGCTGCGTTTTTTTTTCCAGAAGTCCTGTGTCTATATAAGGGAGAAACCTCCACAACTCTACGATGACGTGCTGATTTAACATCCATTTGAATCGGTGGTAACATTGCACAAAAGGAAGCATTTCCTTCAGAAGAACTCTGTCGTAGCAGCTGGGTAGAGCCGGCTCATTGCTTGAATGTTATCCTTGCTGCAGGTGACTACACCATGCTTGAATCTCTGGCCGTTTTTGGGCTACAAGAAGCATCCCGCTTGGCATCCTGGCTGCACAAAAACAAAACCGCTCAGGGGCCCTTTGACTAGTTTGAGCAAATTTAGGTGGAAGAACGCCTGGCAAATGAAGTGGACGTGCGGGACCCTTCCCCTGAAAGTGTCCAGGAGAGTTGGCCGGAAGAGTCGAAGCAGACAGATGTGGTTTCCATGACATGTCATGAGTGCAGTTGACAGTTCAATGTGCAGTACTGTACCTGTAGTTCAAGCCCCAGGGCTTCTGAGGAACTGTGAAGGGCTGCTAGGGTGCACAAGCATACAGTAAGTGCTGTGGCAAGCTGTCAGCCGCAGGATACGCTGGCAAGGTTTCTTGCATCGCCTATCTTCCGGGAGGGAACGAAGGCCTTGAAACATATTTATGTGGCAAGCTTCAACCCCTATGTATCATTATGTATCTATGTCGGGTAAGTCATGCTACTAAATGTGCTTTCAACATCTTTCAACTAGGTTGAGAAATGGGAGCTTCACTTTTTCTTTTTCTTTAGACTATGGCCCATGGTCCAAGATTCACGATAAGCAATCAGAGGTTCGCAGAGACAGAAACATTGAAACATTCATTGCAATGTGGAAGCGTTTGTCTTTGCCATCAGGATGTGCTTTTGCATGGCCACAAGCAACTTCATGAAGAGGAGGCTGGAAAGCTCGCAGACAGTCTGTCCAATGTGACCTTGAAGGCCATCCCACGTGGAGCTGAGACTGAACTGTGCTGGAAGGAAACAAATGAAGTCGTGCAGGGCAGCAGGAAACCAAGGATGTGTGTCCTCGATCCGTCAGCATGATTCACCCAGGTCTTTGTTTGTCAGTGACGACGTGTTCGATTTTCCTGAACAAGGTGCAGTTGAGCTGCTTGCAGCGCTTCATCAGCTGTTCGATTTTCCTGAAACAGTTGACAAAGCGCTGAGGGAGTTGTTCAAACTTGCCTTTGGGCCGAAAGGTCCTGAAGGGATCCCAGATGTATTACAAAAACTCAAGATTGACACCAAGCTTCAGATTCGCAGCTCCCTGCAGCCGGGAGACATATTTCCGGAAGAGTTACATTCCATGTTGGTTCCCTCTGTGAGCGTGGTGTTCGAGGCACGGGGCAGTCGGGCTGTCACAGGAGAGGGTGTTGGTCGTAGTGCTGGTTCTTGGAATATCTTGGAATTGTAGCTATGAAGAACTCAAGCAACAGTGGCGGAATTCAACACATATCGAGACACTTTTCCCCCTGAGGCTGGTGAATATGTGGTGGCAGAGTTGGATGGGAGCTATGTTCTTGGCCAAGTGCTGCCATGGGATCCAAAGGAGGAAAGTGTTGGCCTGATGCGCCAATACAGGGTGCAGCTGTCACAAAGGGAGCCACAAAAGACTATTTCACAGACGGACTTGTACAAGATATCGGGTAACACAGCGTGTCCCATAGGTGGGGATGCGAGTCAGCTGATTCGTATTGATCTTCCAGATGAGATGGAAGCTGCAGAAAAGGAAGTGAATGACAAAGAAGTTCTGGAGGAGATCAAGGCCCAACTGAAAAGCATATCCAAGATGGAGGAGAGGGATTGCAAGAAGGCACTGAGGAGATTGTATTTGACATGGCATCCTGACCAAGCTGGAGAGATGGATTTGGCCAATCAGATTTTCCGGTTGCTCCGGGAATTTGAAGACTGGTATCGCAATGGTGGTGCTGACTGCAGTTGGCTTGATGATTGGGGTAGACCAGAAGGAACAAGTCCGAGGACGTCCAAGAAGCGCTACAAAAAGGGCCGCGAGAATCGCAGAAAGCCCCAGGCGCTCCACTTGCACGCTTGATCGTTTGTGAAACCTATGGAACACTCTCTATAGCGCTGTTCTCACTTGGTAGGATTTGGTAAAGTCGTTTGTGACTTGCTAAAGTTGCTGCCGTGATTGCGTGGTATCCAAGTGGCTCAGAAGCCTCTTGCTCAGGCCGACCCCCCGTCAAGGCCGAAATCAGCACAGGCCAGGAGAGAATGCCCCAGCTGCTGACTCCTCTGCGGTGGTCTTTCAATTCAGAAGTGCTCCTGTCATTCTTTCATGTTTGGACGATTCAAGACACCAAAACTTACAAAGACTTGCTTAGAAGATGATCGTCTTGAATTACATGAGTGCCCGCATATATCACCACCCATAGGCTACTCCAAAGACTTTCTCTTCTTGCTGTCTTGCACATGGGTTTGCGTGAGGCTTCATGGTTCAACGAGTTTGAAACTGAGAGAGAGCGGCGTGAAGAAACAAGACGAGAGAGTCAGAAGAGGCCGCACGTGGCGCACAGGGCAGTTTTCGTGCACCTTCATACAACGCAGAAGTGGACAGAGCCGAGGCACGAGCTGTCAGCAGGCTGAGGTAGAAAGTCTCACTCCATGGGAGAGCCCTAATGGAAAACAACAGAACCCATAGACTTAGAGTGATATTGGGATTTATGCAACAAATCTGAAAATTATTACCAAATGCAACAGATAGGGCCATTATTACCAAATGCAACAGATGGGTAGTTCTAGTGGCCGAAACGCGTTTTCGATTCATTATGTCAATCTCTTGCAGGATTGTGGACGAAGAAGAAGCAATGCGGTGGATTCGTCAAGTGGAAAGCAATTTGAAGGTCATGCTGAAAGTGGCATCGCCTTCAGAAGGAGGACCTTTTTTTGCAGACTCTGTGTGGTATGCCAACCAAGTGGTGGAAAAGGCCCTAAAGTCAGCCATGTTGCGCACCTGCGGCTTGACACGAAGTGAATATACGGGCGAGGATTGCCATGACATAGTTGCCTTCCATGAACGTTTGAAAAAGGCAAATGCGGCAACAGCACCACAAAGGCGAGCACAAAACGACTTGCCGGGTAGTGAAAGTGTCATGCAATGGCTGAAGGATGCCTACTTGGCCGCCCGGTACCCAAATGCCACTCCTGGCCAAATCCCCGCCGATGCATACACCAAAAATGATGCCCAAATGGCTATGGAGCTTGCTCATCAGGTATTTCGATGGGCTAAGAGTCTGGAAGACCTTCCAGAGCCGAAAGTCGAAGAAAAAAGAACCAAGGTTGTTTTTATGCAACAGGGAGTGCCGGCCCCGGCAGCTTCTCCAGCCCAAAGGCCAAAGGTTTCAAGGGTGCATGAGACGGTGGAAATGCAAAAGAAAGGTGTGCCGCAGCCGCCACCAGCAAATCCTTTGAAGCCCACAGTAGCACCGCCTCCCCCTGCCACGGCTCCAAAGGTTTTGAACATGGAAGAGAGCGAGGCTGAGGATGCCGCGGATGCCAAAGGATTTCCACCAGGAGTCTCAATGAATGCTATGAGTCGACGTCGACGGATGACCTTGGGCTGCAGCATTGCCTTTGCCGCTGTGGCTTTGGTGCGAGCGCAGTTTCCGAAGGATCCAATGCAGCCTTGTCGAGTGAACAGAGTGAACCGAATTCCTGCGCCAAGACCAATGTCGTTGCACGTCGTTGCACGTGCCGCGAGCCTCGACCTTCAGACTCGATGATTGAGGCACCGAGCTGTGCAGCCAAGGTGTTGCATCGTGCTGTATGCATCCCAATTCGCGCAAGCCATCGCCAGACTTAGACTTGTAACGTGCTAGGTACTAGCTGTACCTAGGTGCAGTGAGCAGCAGGCCTTGATAATTCCAAAAACATTTATCCTCTTATCCATTGATCAAAATATATAAATGATCCTAGAATATAATTGCATTAAGTACATGATCAATGTTGCTTTTCACAGTCATGTGACTGTTCTGTGGTGCGTTCGGCTGTTCTTGCCTGGCTTGGCACTCCAGAGTGCTGCACCATTGCAAGTCTTCTGAGTGCAGCACCGAGATGCCGTGCCTTGAAATATTGCGCCTTGATTTCTCTGTTTGACCTGTGCTGCCACAAGCACATCAGACCTGCTCACGGATACCTGTGGCTCGCCAAGATCTAAAAAGCAATGTGTGAACACGACTCTGCCACGACATAGAGCTTGTACCCTGAAACTTGTGGCCGGACTCCCTACTGTTTGTCAAAGGTGCTGACTCGCATGAAAGGCTGTCGCAAGACGTCTACAGTGTTGGCAGTATACTGGAGGGCTGCCACTGCACTGGAAAGTATGCCATGACAATCTCAGATCCAAGAGTTTTCCAAGAACGTGTTTGTACTTTTCATCGTTGGAACTTCCAAAAATTTGATGATTTTATATGCTGTTCCAGCTTGCCTCAGCCTGAGGGCCTCAGCAAATCACAGAAAACCGCCGCTTTCTTAGGATGTATGCTCGCTCCTTGGGCCGGTTGCTTTTTTTGTATCATGCAACTCTTTTCAACTTGCACAGGCCTCCAACTTATACATATACCGCATGTACTCAAGCACCTATACTCCCTCGTTTTGAATGGATTATTAACTTGATATTTACCTTCAAACACAACAACACATACAAAGACGACAGAACAAG